AATCAAACAATTTCTTTACAAGATTTTCAACATCGTGTGCCAATGCAATGAGTGCAAATAATGACTTAGTCTTAATTAACGGTGATTTTAACGCAAGATGCAAAAAATGGTGGCAAGATGATCATGAAAACTCTGCAGGTCAAAAATTGTTTGATAACATTGAGGCTTTAGGACTTTTTCAAATGATAGACGAGCCAACTCGTGTTACTCGTACTAGTAGGTCATGCATTGATCTGCTCCTTTCCAATAACCAAGATCTGATTTCTAATTTTTCTATTACGCCTCCTATTGGTAACACAGATCATTGCACTCTGTCAACTAACTGTTTCTTTGGCACTATAAAAGATGCTCCATACTCACGTAGATTATGGCATTATTCAAAAGCTGATATTACATTATTAAATGATGACATTAGGAGAGCTCAATTTGATGACCTCATTGAATCTTCAAACAACATTGATGTTCTTGTTGATAATTTTAGCGACAAGCTATTTGACATTTTTTTGGACCAAATTCCAAATACTATCGTAAATGTAAAAAGCTCAGATAAATCCTGGTTTAATCATAATATTAAGACTATGATTAACAAAAGAAACAAACTTCATTCCAAATATCGAAAATCTCACAATTTGACATACTTAAACAAATATAATGAGCAATGTACACTCGTAAATAAAGCAATAAATGAGGCTAAAGATGCTTTTGACTCAAACTTGCGGAAGAAATTAACAACTTTTAAATATGGCAGTATGTCATACTGGGCCATAATATCCAAACTTCTTGGCAAATCAAAAAATTCGAAAATACCGCTACTTTTTGACCAACATGGGCAACACATTGTTAAAGGCCATGACAAGGCAAATTTATTTTTGTCTCATTTCATCAAAAATTTCCATCGTAACAATGATTTAGTGAACATCCAATTAGACCAAAGGACTGAAAACACTGTTAATATTTTATCTACTCACGAGGATGAAGTTTTTGAATTGTTACTTTCTCTTAATATAAACAAAGCCACAGGCCCTGATCAAATAAGTAACAGAATTTTAAAAATGGCAGCGCCAGCTCTTTCTTCATCCTTATCAAAATTAATTAACAAAATCTTTACCCTTAATTCATTTCCACAAAAATGGAAACTTGGTTACATTTTGCCTATTCATAAAAAAGGTGATAAAACTGATGTCAAAAACTATCGCCAATTACTCTTCTTTGTTGTTTATCAAAAATAGCTGAACGCATTATTTTCAAAAGAATATTTGACCATCTCATCAGAAATGATCTGTTTTACAGCCTCCAAAGCGGTTTTCTTCCTGGTCATAGTACCCAATCTCAATTACTAAGCATAATAGATTATATCACTAATGAAATTGAAACAGGGGGGTGTGTGAGGGGTATTTATTTAGATATTTCAGCCGCTTTTGACACTTTACCACATTCATTACTACTAAAAAAGCTAGAATCATATGGTATTGGCCCTTCCATCCTATCCCTTTTAAAGTCATACCTCACAAATCGACGTGTCAAAGTAGTGCTTGATGGACAAGAATCGAACCTCTCAGATGTGAATTATATCAACTCAGGCGTCCCTCAAGGATCAATCCTTGGTCCTTTACTGTTCCTAGTTTACATAAATGATCTTCCTGAGAACTTACACAGTAAATGTTACATATACGCAGACGACACTTCTCTTTACCAGTCATTTAACCATGATAATTTACTTGAAAAAAATAATATTTTACAAAATGATTTGAACTCAATTTCCAACTGGTCAAACTTATGGAAATTGAATTTCAAAGCTGAAAAAAGTAAGGACATTTTATTCTCAAACCCTCGTAAAGTAGTTTTACAAGTACCAGATCTAACTATTGGAAATAACTCTCTACCTCGTGTTGACTATCACAAACATCTCGGCTTAACACTTGACAAACATTTATCATTCGAACAACATATAAATGAACTATACAAAAAAGTTGAAAAGCACTTAAACCCACTCAGATCACTCCAAAAGAAATTAGGAGGTAGACACTTGGAACTAATTTTCAAGTCATTTGTTCTCCCGATTTTTGACTATTGTGATATCCTCTACTCATGCGCAAACTTATCAAAATTAAAATTAATTGATCAGCTTTATTATAAGGCAGCCTGCATATGCTCTGGAGTCATTCATGGTACATCATGTACTAAAGTTTTGAACTGTTTAAATTGGACATCATTAGCAGAAAGACGCAAATATCACCGTAATATTCTTGTATTTAGATCGCAGAATAATTTGTTACCATCATATGTTTCAAGTATTTTCCAAAGATTTCGTAGACATCATACAGTAAATGTTCGACGAATTGCTCCTTTCCAAATCCCAACAAAAATTACATCATTTTCACATCGATCCTGTATTTTACAAGCAATGATAGATTGGAATACCCTTTCAAAGCCCCTCATAGAAGCTGAAAATTTAAGTATATTTAAGTCAAGGGCAAAGAAAGAGTTATCTAACTCAATTATTCGATCCTCTGAACTTAATATTTCAAGAAATCAAGAAATTATACTTAACAAGGTTCGTTGTGACTTAATTTTTAAGTCCCATCTATACTCTCATAATTTTACAAACGTTACTTCACCTGCATGTTCTTGTGGCCATGCAAATGAAACAACAATTCATGTAATTTTTTCCTGTATTCTCCGTGCTCCATTCTTAGAAGAGTTGGAAAACAATTTAGCTTTTCTTAATTTTGGTTATTCTCAATTCAAACACAAGAGGGACAAAGTAGAATTATTTCTTTATGGGGATTCAAACTTAACTAAATCCACTAATTTGAAAATTCTCAAGCTTACTGCATCATTTTTAGAAAAATGTGCAAATGTGTAGGTTTCCCTGCCACCACTCACTTCACTCTTGAGTCCATATTTAAATGTTTCTTTTTTCTTCACCCTGCAATTATAAATCAAGTGGCTGATAATGCCTTCAGCAAAGCCACTACAAGTGTATAATGTTTATGTACGTTATGTATTTGTAAAATAAACTCTATGAATAAAAAAAAAAAAAAAAAAAAAAAAATTGTAGTCAGCTTGACGGGCGGGCGGCGTCTCACTTTTCAGCTTGTCTACAGGTTTCCAGCCAAACCATTTGAGGGATTCATCTGAAATTTTCAGGGATGTTTCTACATATCAACGTCAAGAACTGATTAGTTTTTGGGCATTCTGGGTAAATCTTAAGGTGGCCATTTTGGATTTTCCGTCCTAAAATCTTCACTTTCAAGACTTGTCTACAGGTTTCCAGCCAAACTATTTGAGGGATTCATCTGAAATTTTCAGGGATGTTTCTACATATCAACGTCAAGAACTGATTAGTTTTTGGGCATTCTGGGTAAATCTTAAGGTGGCCATTTTGGATTTTCCGTCATAAAATCTTCACTTTCAAGACTTGTCTACAGGTTTCCAGCCAAACCATTTGAGGGATTCATCTGAAATTTTCAGGGATGTTTCTACATATCAACGTCAAGAACTGATTAGTTTTTGGGCATTCTGGGTAAATCTTAAGGTGGCCATTTTGGATTTTCCGTCCTAAAATCTTCACTTTCAAGACTTGTCTACAGGTTTCCAGCCAAACCATTTGAGGGATTCATCTGAAATTTTCAGGGATGTTTCTACATATCAACGTCAAGAACTGATTAGTTTTTGGGCATTCTGGGTAAATCTTAAGGTGGCCATTTTGGATTTTCCGCCCTAAAATCTTCACTTTCAAGACTTGTCTACAGGTTTCCAGCCAAACCATTAGAGGGATTCATCTGAAATTTTCAGGGATGTTTCTACATATCAACGTCAAGAAGTGATTAGTTTTTGGGCATTCTGGGTAAATCTTAAGGTGGCCATTTTGGATTTTCCGTCCTAAAATCTTCACTTTCAAGACTTGTCTACAGGTTTCCAGCCAAACTATTTGAGGGATTCATCTGAAATTTTCAGGGATGTTTCTACATATCAACGTCAAGAACTGATTAGTTTTTGGGCATTCTGGGTAAATCTTAAGGTGGCCATTTTGGATTTTCCGTCTTAAAATCTTCACTTTCAAGACTTGTCTACAGGTTTCCAGCCAAACAATTCAAATTTTTACATATGTTACACAGTGATAAGTTCTAGAGCTGATTAACTTTTCTGCGGCCATCTTGCTTTCTTGGTCAACAAGACCACAATGCTGTGTTTTAGGTACGATATTGTTCACGTCTGTGCCTTGTTTACTTTACAACGCGCGTTTGGTTAGGACACAGGGGGATATGGAATGATGTGTTTATATGCTTGCTTGGATCTCATTATGATGGAGAGATGAAATGGCAGATACGTGGCAGTTTTGAGCTGAAGCGATTATTGCTTCTTTAATGCAAAACTATAAGTTGAATTTTTACCAGGTATGGATGCCTATATGAGCCCCCATTTTTCCAAAATCAGGGGTGCTTATCCGCTATCTAAATCATGTCAGTAAGATGTAAGACTTGATATATGGGCTTAGAATGAATGTTGATCCAGTCAAATATCATACTTTCGCGAAAAATGAATCAAAATACAGAAGATAATCTCTCCAAATCAAACAGCTACAGCAGTGTGGCCATTGTGATGTCACTACAAGATGAAATTACTTTTGTGACGTCTCCTTGACTCAACTGCCCTCAGTATGAAATATCTCTGGACCTGGGCCTATATTTATTAGTGTCAATAAATGTCAAATTTAATGAAAAAATTACAGTAAAAGCCCTTTGTAAAGCTACAGATAAGGATCGCTACAGTTATGACATATTATTCGTCACAATATTTGATCATCACCATTATCTGAAACTCTGGAATCTTATGTAACTTTCCATAAGGAACAAAATGATATATAACATGATAGGGTGGCAATGCTACATGTATGAGTTTAGAGGGGGGGGGGAACATAGATATGAAACACCCTTTACACATAGTGTCACTTGTTCTAACAGACTGAGATTTGGTTTTTTTACATGTATTTCCAGAATCAAAACTTGGACCTTTTAAAGGAACCTGTACATGTATCACATGACTTGATTAAGAATGGAGTCAGGTAAGACCAACTTCAAACATCAATATTATTATATAACACTGCTAATATAATATTACCACAAGAAATGATTCCTTGCATGGATTTGGGTTATAATATGTTATATTTTTTTATATTTTATACAAGACTAACATACGAATTAGAATTGCACAATTTTTTAAAAAATCTTTTTCCATTAGTTCAAAAAAGTATACAATTATAAAAATTTTAAATTGCTCAAGTTTTATATAAAACACAAACATAAGGAGCAATTTTCTATATGTATTCTTTACAAGTTTACATTATGACCAATTGTCATTTTGATTAATCCCAGGGTTTATTGACATGTTCACTGGTGATCCACTCAATCACGCTGGAACCGTTTCGGTAACAAAATGTCGGAACGTCGAAGGCACGATTTTTCTTTTTTCCTTATTTCACACGTTGTAGGCAGAATTCACACAACATTTTTATCACAAACGTGTATCAGTATCATATGATTAAGAAAATGAACACATTTGCGAACAAATAGTTCAGAAGACAACGGAATCGTCGATTTAATCCCTCACTTAAGTTACCGAAATGGTATTTAACCCTTACCGTTTATGTAACTTTAGTGAGGAATTAAATTGACGATTCTGTTGTCTTCTGAGCTATTTTTTCGCAAACATGTACCTTTTATAAAACATATGATACTGATACACGTTTATGTGAAAAAATGTCGTGGGGATTCTGCCTACAACGAGCGAAATAAGCAAAAAAGAAAAATCGTACCTTTGACGTTCCGACGTTTTGCTACTGAAACAAACCGTTTCATATCATTTACAATATTGTTGTACAGCTGTTTACATGTATTATAGCCATATGATGTGTGGAATTGTGCAAATAGTGATTTCAAGTCACCTACAATAGTTTTCAATGCTTGCTTTGCTTTAGTTTCAATTCATTCAATTTGAAATGTTTGTGTCACTTTAAACCAGTGTTTAGATATTTCTGAGAGATGGCCACAGATGACAATGTTTAAATGGTTGTTGTAGATTGTACAGTTGATTTGTTGGTGGACCTCAATGATGGTGTTACAGAAGACAATGTAGAAGAGGAGCCTGCTGTTAAAACTGCAGATGAACTGCCCAGTATAGAAAGCCTTTTTGAGAGGGTCAAAACACAACCAGAAACAAAAGGTACACAAACTCAACTAAATATTTTCATACAGTAAAAACCTGTGATAGTGGACATCTTTGGTATACCGATATAGTGTTCTACTCTTTGGGATTCCACTTTACAGCTTTTACTGGATTTGGCTTTTCTCAAAATACATTTTCAATTTTTGTAAAATTTATCGATTAATATTCTGTTGTCAGTTAATAGGTATAACTTGAGTGAGAATAATAAACATGATTTCTTCATGATTCTCATGCAAGGCCATTCAAAATTTAATTATGTTTAATGTCTCCTCCCTTCTATGATTAAGGCAAATTTTCAGAAAAGAAATTAAGTGCCCAGACATGTACTTGTATTTTATAATGAATTCAATTCCTCTATAACATGTACAGCTTCAGTATGTTTTCATTAAAAGGTTCACATGAACTCAAGGGATGTGTAACTTTATCAATCACTTGCTTTGTATTCATTGTAGTATTATATTTTTACTTGTAATAGAAATGTAATAAATAAAAGTTTTGTTTTTTATTTGTTTTTCACCTCCCATCCTCCTAAGATTTGGCACTTTGTCATTAAACATATAGTTACTTTGAATGGCCTTATCAGTTATAACCAAATACCTACTGTTTGATTTAAATGTTCATATTTTATACACATTTGCTCTATGGGACAACAATTTGTGCTCAAAGCTGATTGTCAAAAGAACCATGAATGGCAGGAAGTGTTTGTTTTACCATATTCCATATTTTGAAAATTTCAAATATTGTAATGACATTGTTTTACCGCAAAAATATATAATTTGAAATAAAATGTTCAAAAACAATATAAGAGGCATTTTCAAAGAATGTATTGTTTGACTAGGTTTTGGAATATTTTTTTCAGATAATCCAGAAATTGAGAGAGCGGAATCCCAGAAAGAACTCGAGACAAGCGTGAAAGTGAACGATGGTGAGATGAATCATAATCCACATGCCAATCAATCATTTCTTGTCTGATGACATGATACCTATGTCATTATCTGTTTAGAATATTTCTGATCCTTCAGTACAATTTTGAGCATCTACAACACAACTTCATCTTCATAATATTTTATTTAATGATGGGTTTTTCCAAAAATCACTCTGAATTTTACTTTACAATTCTTAATGGGTTGTCTGAATTAGCCGAGCGCCTTCGTGAGCATTGGAATAAATGAGAGTTTATTTTTTGTAGATATTCGGCTCTTGGATGAAGAGGAATTTGATTTTGAACTTGGTTCTCCGTAAGTATTGCAAGGAAAAACTGATAATAAACCCATGATATCATCATGTAGATTAAGCTACATTTAGTAGATTATAATGTTTTATGTCTATATTAATTGGAAATTCTGATGTATCTCTAATGTATGTCTTTTAATATCTGCCAATTAACTAAGGGTAGAGTAGATGGTTAATATTATATGTGACATTTACAAATTCATAAATATAGTGTTCATCACTTGATCAGATTTAAATTGATCTATTAGATGGAAGTGCAGTGATAAAAATTTTGCTGCAGACTGCAGGGGGAAGGGCATTGTTGTAGATGACAGAGTAGGAGGATCAGCAGAAAACTTATGATTAAATACCCCAAGTCTGCAATATGAAATCACTCTGAATCATAACTGAAATGATAATATTACGGCTTGGCTTGTAGAGATTTCTGCAGTTTGAAATGGTTAATATGACAAATATTTTGAAATGGCTAAATGATACAACCATTGAAACACTTGAAATGATCCAAACATTTAAAATACAAAAATTATACTCACAGCTTTTATTTTTCAGGAAAACCAGTGAAGATGACAAAACTACAGAATCCACAAAAAGAAAGGACAATGAAGAACATGATGACGATGATGATGAGGAGGAAGAGGTGTTCTTTGGTCCAGTCAGTCATATTGAAAAATGTGTGTCAGTTGCTGTCAAGGAAAATGTTGTGAAACCATTGAGCCCACTTACCACAAAACAAATGGCAGAGTTATTTGCAGAGGCAAATTCTGTAGCAAGTCAAATTATTCTACAGAAATCGCCATCTCCCAAACACACACCAGAAACAGAATTTTTGACACCAGACTTTATGAAAGAGAATTCTAATGAACCTTTATTGAATGTTGACCTACAGTTCACTCCGAAAAGCACTCCTAAAAGTGCAACATCCTTAACACGCTCTAATACCTTTACAAAAGACAGAAGCCCATTTCATAAACTGCCAAAAAGTAAACAAAAAGTACTACCAGTTCTGGACGGAATTAACAAAAATACAACTTCAACTAAAAAGACTCTTAATAGACAAACACCTGTTAAAAGACGGAGTTTGCCACTTCGAAATGCAATAACAAAAATGGAAAACTTGAGGAAGGGTACAATGTCATTTATGGAAGCTAAACCCACTAAGTCTGTACAACAGCCAGTTGCTACAAAGAAGAAAGAGGTATTTCTACATTTACTCTTTGAATTAAGCTTTCTCTCACAGCCTTGGTTGCTTTATTGTGATCAGTTTATCTTGCAGGTGATGGGTCGCCACTATAAAAGCTTGTCTACAAGTTTCCAGGCAAATTGTTTTATTTGAAATGGATTGAAAGTCATGATGGTAAATTTTGATGTGGCCATTTTGGATTTCCATCCCAGAGATTTTCAGAGATATTTCTTAAATTGATTAGCTTTTGGACATGTAACAGGCAAAATGTTGATGTAAAATCAACAAAGTCAGACTAAAGGAATTGGATTCATTTGAAATTTTGATTCATATTTAAATTCCATCCTAGAATCTTGTTTGTAAAGCTTTGTATCTATTTCATCTACACCTACATTAATAATTTGCAATAGACTAAAATCCCATTTACCGTTTTTACAGCAAATATATAACAATAAATAGAATTTTTATAAGGTGGACTACAACTTCAGAAGAAAACAGTTGCGCTTAATTGTTAAACTGCTTGCTGACTGATGATTTAAATGTGGTTAAGCTATCACTGTCTAAGATATCACTAGAAAGTGTTCCATTTTACTATTGTCCTTGGAAAGTAGCTGAACTTGTGTGCATCTGTTCTATCAACTGGTTGAAGGAATTTATATGCAAATCCAGCAAAACCATTTTATTGGTTGATTTTAAACCTTTCAGCAATTTTGAAAGGATCTTTTGTAGTTGAGGCTCATTAGTAGCTTAATTTGAAAAAATGCATTTTAAATAAGATTTTAAACATTTTTCTTTGGAAAATTCTGTTCAGTGAATAATTTTATTTTCTAATTTCCAGATTACAAGGCCAGGAGGTGGTCCAGTGTCTACAATTGTTCAACCAAAATCCTCAGCTGCTTTGAAATCCTTAGCTCCTGATCCTGTGAAATCTGCAGCCTCTGGTCCCTCAAGGTCTACAGACCCTGTTCCCTTGAAATCTACTGCTCTTGGTCCTGTTAAGGCCACTGCCCCTTCAGCTATGAACACAACTCTAACAGGTAAGTTAAGCCACTAGTTGATCATTGAATGATCATAAATATATTATGAATGTTATGTCAAATATAATTTACAAAAAAATCAACCCATGGGCCCCCCCCCCTAAGGTTGGCCCAGAAAAAAAAAAGTTGGGCTCAAAAAAATTTTAGGCCGTAAAAGGCTTTAAGGCCCCAAAAAGTGGGCCTTTTGGTCATTATTGGGCCTTCTAAGGCCTTATTTGTTTTAATTTAGGCCAAATTTTGAAGAAAAAGGGGCTCAAATTTTCAAAATTTGGGCCCACTTTTCGGTTTTAGGGGCCCAAAATTTTTCTTGCGCGGTTTTTTCTCTGACCTCAAATTTGGGCCCCCCCCCTATTGGTCCCTGGATCCGCCACTGTCAACTGACAAAAAATAAGTAGGGTCGTTGTCATGATCTCAAATAGATAAAGCAAAGGAACTAAAATAATATTTACTGCAAAATGTTGGCAAGGTAACTCAGCCTGCCTCATGCTGGGCAACTCACATAAATATTTAATTTTTCTATGAATTTTAAAGTTGTAAGACACTTGTAGATCCCCTTATATTTCCAGATAAACCAAGAACGTCAGGATTAAAACTTCCAAGTTCAAAGCCTCAGTTATTGCGACCGGGGCAGATGCAGCAAAGCCTGATGGGTAATAGAAGCAAGCTAGTAAAGCCAGGAAGTGGACCAATGAAAGCATCAACAGGACTTCTGAAACCAGGGCAGGTTGGTATTAAAACAGGCCTTGTGTTTCATCACTCATTCACATTGAAATGATTAATACTGCAAGTGAACAGTCCAATTCCACATGATCTATGAGAAAGGAGCACGTAGGTTATCGCAAACAATTTCAAACGATTCTAACTTTTTTTATTTTATTTTATTTTTATTTCTCTTTTCAAACATTACAAGTACTGTACAATAATTAGAACAATTCAGATATTTTTCACACCACCTCCATTCATTCAGACATTTGCAACAGTCATACTTTTAAGTTCAGTTTCAAATTGCGCCTCATACAAATTTTGATTCACTTTGTCGAACTCTTTTGTAAAAATATAGTACTTAATTGCAAGGGTAAGTCTATTTGGTAAGATATTATTCTCATTAGCTTGCCTTTCAAAAACCATGTCTTGGGCATTAAAATCGAAATCAACTTTAAATAAACGCTTTAAATTCCCTTTGATTGTTTTCAGAAATATTTGAATCCTTTTGCACTCCCAGATTTGTGTTTTAACGTATCTCGAAAGGCACAATAGTTACATTTAGAGTCATTTTTAAAGGGTGACGCATATCGTTTATATCCCGGAATAATACTCAAGGGTTTACAGGTTCGAGGTTGTTGTGTCAACACCTCTTACTGTTATATAGCATAAGTATATTATAGATCGTCACACATTTATAAAAGGGTGATTTTTATTTTGACAAATCAATTCCACATTTATGGGTGAAGTTTCAGGATCTTCTATTTGTGTATAATAAGGAAAAATTTATATCTAAATTTCCCCATAACGTAATAGCACACAGCTTGGCATATGAAATATCCTACAAATGAAACAAAGCAGTTCTAATACAAGGATTAATATTGGCTGTTGTACATATTCTTTGAACGCAATCACTCTATGGATATTGTTTTCAAAATCATTATAAACGGATTACTTTATCTCAAAGACAATTTCAATAAAGTGGATTTTACAGAACTCCCCTTATTTCTTAAAAATGGACTGATCCAGTTGATTCGCCTGGCGCCGCCATTTTGTTTTTATACGGGAAGCTTATCAGAACCCTTTAATGCCTATCTGCGCTACAAAGGCATTTGTAGTTCAGATACCATGAAGTATTTAAAATTCAAGTTGTCGCGTTTTATTCTGTTTCGTACACATATACGCATTTTAAAATACCTGTAATCGGTTCTCTTTAATTCACGATCATGTTTGTCTTTATATAACGGTTCCAAGAACTTGTTTCCATTTAATACTGTTTGAATTGATTTAACCGTTATACATGTTATACTAGAAATTGTCACCTGTTTTTCACCAAGTTTCAAATACATAAGTTCTTCCTGTATGCTGGGTTCAAAGGTCGAATTTAAATCTGATTTCAATAGAGATTTCCAATCATTCGGTATAGCCGATATGATTGAAAAATACTCAAGGAAGTTGATATTAATATTATATTTTGCTTTAAACTCATTGTACTGTAAAAAAATCCCATTCTCGTTAAGAAGGTCATTAATATTAATGACTCCCTTTTCCATGACATGTTTGTACATCACCTCCTTATCATTAATTAGGATTGATTTGTTATTCCAAATTATTTCACCTTTAACCTCTGAACTGGTTCTAGGCGGCGACATATTAATTCTGAATAGTTTCGAAGCAAATTCATATAAAAGGTAGGAACACTATGTGCCAGTGTTTTAATATCATAATTACACTGCAACAAAAAAACTCAGTCGTCCAAGATGCTTGAAATAAACTTGAGGAATAAGCTTCCAGTGACTAGTTCGTGTGTCAAGTAAACATCTTAACCACATTAATTTCAGGGCTTTCTCCATTGTGAACATATTAATCATTCTTAGACCCCCATCCTCAAAATCCCCTATTAAAGTGTTTCGCTTAATTTTCTCACCCTTTCCTCCCCATAAAAACGAATAGACTAGTCGTTGGGCCTTCGTCAAGATATCATCAGGCGTATTGGTTAGATGATTTTAACTTGAATTATGAATATTTTCTGATCATGAACACGGGTGTATCTTTTAGATCCATTCATTATCTTCAAGAAAAGTACATATAATGATAATTTAGTTAATCAGACCTAAGTGATATTTAAGGGGCAATGGACCAATCAACATACTTTTTCAAAAACGTTTATTATATTGTTGAATGCATAATTAGAATGTGCTTTGAGACATGTTCGATTTCCTAAAAGGAAAAGTTGATTTCTCCAGGGACTTTAAAGATACTGAATTTGAATGACCAAAATGAACTGAAACTAATGGATAGCATGGGATTTTTCAGTGGGGAAATAACATGGGGAACACTTATCTTAAAGCAATTAAGTTTTTTTTAAAGAACTATTTGATACATCAAAATAATACCCTTTGCATTCGTTCGACTTCACTTCTTAAAAGAGAGCTTCGTAGTTTAACTAGACTCTGCACGCAGGGTATCAAAATAAAGAATAGTAATGCATTAAACATTGTAAAAAATGATTGCATTTTTGGTGAAAATGGGGTCAACATCTTTGAAAAAGTGTGTTGATGGGTTGATTGCTAGATAAATATCTCCGAGTTTGTTTGACTTTATTATTACTAAGCATAATTTTCTTTGAAATAATGAATTGATCTAAAAGAGAAACTTGTCTTCATTGTCAGAAAATAGTCATAATCCAAGATATAACCTTCTGAAATTTTTTGCGATAACCCACATGCTCCTTTTTTAATGAAAAATTAGAAGAAATTACTAGGAATATCATGAAAGTCATATATTATAAATCTTTCAAATTTTAAATGTAAATTCAATTTTTTCTCATTCTACCAGAAATAGAGGTGCTAAGCTGAATTTACTGGGGTAAGGCTTATAAGTCATTATACTTTCAGAAATTAATCAGAAAGATAGATTTGATTCTTATAACTGTGTGAAACCAGATGATGATTTTTCATTTTCAGGTTTCAAAGCCAGTAGGAAGTTCGGTATCTTCAATTGTTCCTCCTAGTTCATCAGGCAATGGGCCCATGAAGGCTACAGCCCCTGGCCCCATGAAAGCTACAGCCCCTGGCCCCATGAAAGCTATAGCCCCTGGCCCCATGAAAGCTACAGCCCCTGGACCCATGAAAGCTACAGTTCCAGTTAAAGGTTAATTTTTACATTTTCTTTAATATTAATTTCAGCAATTGATAAATTTTAGGTATAAATGACATACACTGTATAAGAGCATAGAATTGAATTAATCAAGATGACAATATGGATCTTGATATATATGAAGAATCATAGAAAAACGTTTTTCAGAGTATCACTCAAGTTTTAGTTATTGGATTTTTGAGTGCCTTTGCCTTATTTCTCAGATTATTTTCAACCTACAACTTGTTTGACTTTGTTGCTATGACATCAATTGTAGGTTTGTCCCCTAAGAAGAAGCCTGTTACTAGAAGCAATACATGTACCCCCAAGCGAATGACACCTCCCCGGAAAGTCAACGTCATAAAGTCAACGCCTGTAATGCCAGACAAAGGTGTTCAACAACCCAAGCGACTTCTTTCTCATTCTTCTGGGTCATCTACTGCTTCAACTCCACCAAAAGATCAAAGGTATGGTTGTTTGGAGATTGGTCAAATATCATGTTTCATGTACTGTAAAATCTAAGTAACTGAAATGGCCTTTGCAACCTCTAATAAAAGTGTTCTACTTGTTGGGAGTTGTTACACTAACAGAGGCTCATTTTCACAGATTGTACTGTACACTGTAGTATATGTAAATATATTTTTAAGGAAGTGCAAAAAAACTACTTTTGGTCCCTTATGTATAAGAAAATGTACATCTGATAATGTTTGTTTTTCTCCATTAGTCACAAAATATGAACAAGGTACACCATGCATCCCTTGATGATTTCACCAATGGAATCCAATTTAATTTAAAACCGCAACTTCTAATAATTGCAGGTTAAATAAATCTCAAAATTGTTTTTATTTTGAAAACAGTCTCAACATGACAGTGAACACACCTCCTAACAAGAATCTGTTCACTGGTGGCTCCGCACAGAAACGACGTTCCATGTTGCCAACTCCTACCAAAAGAGGCCGCTTAAGCTCTATGGGGTCCATCCCAAGGTAAATCCTATTTTGTTGAAGTTGAACAGAAGAAGAATTGTTAAAATCTTAAAAATACTCATAGTATTTTGTACTGTGGCCTTTTCTCATAATTGATGCCTTGTCTTTCTCTTGCAGCCCACTCTCTGTGCGAAGCAACACAAGCTCCGTGAACTCATCAATTGGTTCTCCAGTGATGGGACGTAACTATGGCAAAAGCTCCAGTGTATCCTCCTACACAGCTTCCCCTAAAGCTGCATTGGTAAGTATACTATATTCATAGTTTATAAAATTGCTATTCACTTTTTCTTCAAAGAGATGTTTGGGTCTTGAGAATGCTACCAAACAGAGAGTAGGAGTGATATACATACAGTATGTAATTGGATGGAATCTTATTTCGACATTTTAACCTTATTTCATGGCCACTAGTTTTAAGTAGCATAAAACAATTCAACAAATTGTTTGACTAAGTTAAGGTCTTTATTTGTTTATTGAATTCATCTTAATAACATACTATACTTTAATTGTGGAGGGCCCAAATAGTAAAACAAGGGATGGGTTAATACCTTAAAGGCCCCGTATAATGTTTAAACCATTTTGGCTTATATTGTATTGTTGACTTACCCAATGTCATCAATGCGTGTTTTGTCTTCAATAATGTTGTCCCAATGTTACAAGAATGTCTAGGTTTATTTAGAGTATGTAAAATAAATTCATCTCACTCATATATCATTACCAAATACGTAATCATTCTCATATTCATTCTCCATTGCTTGTATTACAGTTTTCTGGAATAGATGAAAACTCACCGAGTTGTTTGAAGGTAATGCGAGATGCTATCATCATTTAGAATGTGTGTTGTATTTTGTTTATACACCAATGCACCACAATTCCCAGGTGCCCCTCACACCAAAAGTTCAATAAAGATTACAAATAATTTGTCTATGGAATTGGGTCACCTGGGAACTTTTTGAAACTTTTTAATATTTTATTGAAATTACTGCCCATGCATCTTTCTTCTAACATTTAGTTCTATTCAGTAAAGTGCACCGAAAATCTTTCCACGTCATTTCAGAGATTCGAAAGAATTTGTAAATAACTTTCTTAATATCTTTCTAATATCCTTACTACTATTTATGTAGGCATCTGTTGGATTCTCAATTGGCTGCTTTCCACTTTCTAGTTTTGTTGTATAGTTGTTTTTAACTTTTTGTAGAATTTCTTTGTTACACTCTAGTTCACTAATGGAGGAGCATTTTAATTTAATGCACTTTTTATTTACACTAAACTATTATTTTGAACATTCGTGATCCTACTTGTAGTGTAACACACTGACACTTCTGTTGACCAATCATAGCCCTGTTTCGGTGTATATCATGAATAAAGATTCCTGACTTTCTTTTTCATAAAAGAAAAACAACGGCTTATTCTATAACATTTTTACAATACAGTTACTTTATAATGTAACTTTTTCAAATAAAATGTATATTTGATTCATGTATTAGCTTATGAAATAACCCTTTGTAGACAGATGGGTACAGGTATTCAGTCATTCACAGAATGTAGTGAACTATTTTTATGTCACCATCAAAAAGTGGTGACATGTTGTTATGGTCTCCGTTTTTTGTGGCGGCTGTTGATGATTGTTGGGTGGCGGGCGGCGGTTGACGTCTGTAACAAATAACTTAACAAATACTGTTTAGACTGACTTCAATTTTCTTCAAAATCAAGTTATCAGAAGTTCAAATCTGATTATAGCTTTGACCTTCAATGACATTCTCAAGGTCAAAAAAGATTTGACCTTCTCAAGGTCAAAAAAGTTATTTTTACAACTTGCTTCAAATTGACCAATTTTTGGTCAAAATCAACTACAGGTTAGAAGTTCAAATCTGACTTTAGATTTGAGATTTGACCTTCAATGACCATCTCAGGGTCAAAAAAGATATTTTTCAACTTGCTTCAAATTGACCAATTTTTTTTCAAAATCATCTACAGTGTTCTCAGAAATTCAGATCTGACTTGATTGAAGATTGAACTTATGATATTGTGAGCAACTAGGTGGTGACATTTTTTCATGTTAATGTCTTGTTAGTCATATCGTTAGCATTTGTTAGTTCATCACATTTACTACTAGATGAAACAAGTATGCAATACAATTGCTTGAATTGTTCTTGATGCTAAATTCATCTGCATCATATCATAGAATTCATGAACAACAAAGACGTCATTGGACAAAATAGTATTAATAAACTGGTTGAAGATCTTGAAATTCCATGTGATGAAACGTTAACATTTCCTCTTTCAGCCCAGGAAAACAAAAGTTGCATTCACACCACTAGGAGGAAAAACTGAAAAGAAATCCCTTTGGTCACCAGTGAAGCGTCGTCAACCAATAGACAGTGATGAGCAATACCATCAATGCACAAAGAGAATCAAGTGAAAGGTTGCGGGAACCTTCATATTTCAATTTGGTCATATCTTTTTCACTCCTTTGACATACAAAGGCATGAGAGGGGCGAGGTTATATTTATTCAGACATTTCTTCAACTAAAACTTTGGAAATGAAGTCCAAACATAGTAATGTACCTAATTTGAAGGAAAGTTAAGATAATTAAATTGAAATATCAAAATTATTAGACATTCTCTATATTCATGGATAGAGTTAGTTTCTGACAGATGAGACTAGATGAATGGATGACAGTTGAAAATATGGGCTGTGAGGAACCACAAATACACCATAATTATATGCAAGGTGTGAACAAGAACAGTACAATGAAACTTTGCACTTTCTCATATCATGACGGGAGATAAACAAAACTTAATGTGTTCAAATGATGTATGTATGTGTTCACAATTCAAAACTGAGAATGAAATGGAACGACGCTACAAACACATATAAAAATATGTTTATTTTATACATGGTAAAACTTTACATATCAGCTATTAGTTAATATCCATGATTATATGTAGAGTTATAGATGGCCTGAATATTATTCATTTGTACATTACAATTATAGATATTAAGAAATAGTCATGAGAGTAAAAGATTTCAAACTTAAGTCTCAACTCATATCTGACCCTTAAAACATACTCTCCTATCTAATCCTTCCACATTTTATGAAATTTAAGTATTTAATATATATTTTAACAGCTCACATTTTACATATTACTTTACATCCAATATAAATGATTCTTCATTAATGCTTTATAGTCTATTAATTGTACATGTGAATATTGTACAGTATCAATAACCTATGTATACACATATAAACCTGGAAACCAATTGTATGAACATGTTTTAATGAAAATACAATGTAAGTTATGAATGCAAAAAATGTTCAGTTGTTTTTTAAATATGAGATTCATTCGACAATTTTATGAAGATTTAAACTACCCATGATACGAAATCTTCAAGATACAAATCAATCCTTGCTTTTTTCAACATTTTGTGGCAAAATAAAGTTTTACGTTTGAATTTCATAGTTTCCAATGGATTGATAAGTACTTTATCTTTCATACCACATCAAAAACAGCTCAAACGGGCCACATCGAAGCTTGCAATATGTTATCAAAAAATATGGCCCAAATTTTGAGAAATTAAGGCCCATTTTTGATAAATCGGCCTAAAAAGGGTAAAATTTTTCTGGGCCCTGCTTATTTTTGTGATAACCTGTTTTATTATTCTGGACATTTACATGTAAAATTAAGATTTTCCTAAATTAGGGGCAAGTGGATTTTTAACTAGATGTCACTTATTTCTCCTATTTATAATCAGCGTATGTTCCATGCTATTTTGTGTTGAAAAATAATGAGTGAGAAAGTAACACATACTAAATCGCATAAAGATGGTTCTCAGAAAAGAATAACCTTTTACTCGCGAATGCAACTAACGCCTGTCGGCTACCGGATTAACCTACTGTTTTATGACCAACTCATTCAAATATGAATAGAATAGTGGTATGTACTATTCATATTTAAATGAGTTGCCCATAAAATAGGTCAATCCAGTAGCTGACTGCAGGCATTCGCGAATACAAGCTGATACAATTAATATATTATGTAATTTATTATAGACCGGGTGCTTTTCTGCAAAAGGTCTCTCTGTAAAATGTGGTAGGCGTTTAGTGTTAAAAGTGTTCTGACAAGTGTTTCTTATGTAACTTTTTATGCTGAATCCAAAAGACCATGTTGGCAAGCTGAATTATGATTATTTAACCCTTAAAATACCATGTTAGTCCCCCTACCCCCAAAATTCACCCCTATCAGGGGGAAAAAATTCGTCAACCTAAAATAACTTTGATTTTATGATTTTTGAAAGTGAAATACATGGACATTGTATAAAATAAACATTTGAAGTATGAATGATACGGATAACCCTTAAGAAATTTGAATAAAAGCAAAAAGTATGTACCCCAGGGGGCAAATTTATGACCCATTTTTACTTTTCGTGTCATAACTTTTTTATAAGACAATGATGGATGCTAAAAAAATCCATGTAAAAGGCATAATACCTGGTCTACTAATCCTGCAAGAATCAAAGTAATTCCTTTGATATTTGCCTTGAAAAAAATTAGTGAATTTAAGAAAAAATGACATTTTAGCTGGGACTGATTTTATGTGTGACTATAGCTGACCCCTATTGCTTTAACATTTATCCCTCTGTGTTCATATATATAGCATTTTAGAATAAATCTAAAATATAAAACTTATTTTAGCTAAGTTTTAGGAAGATTTAAGCTTTTTATCATGTTCAACTATTAAAAATTCATGAAATATGATGTCTAAAATTGATAAGTTATACGTATACCCTTGGAAGACCCTTATAATTTCTTATTTATGAACATATTTGTACCAATATTAGTTTTCTAGCTTAGAGAAATGATGTATGATATATCCTGGCTTGGCTTTCTGGTGGTTTTAACAATCTTTTATCATTGAAAATTCATTCTTAAATCATAGGTCTGCAATCGATTAAATTCATGTATACCATTAGTATCATTCTACTGGTATGAGCATAATTGAACTAGCTATGATTTCATAGATTAGTTGTTTGATGTATGACATATTCCAAGCTGACTTTCTGGTGATTTTAACCATCTAAGAGGCTTAATCATTGAAAACCATTACAAATAAAGGCCTAAACGGACAGTATTAAGGTAGACTATTAGAATGCCCTTATTAATTCCAGGCTTAGAGTATATTGGTACCTACTACTGTCTCATAGCTCGGAGGTTTGATATATGACATATTCTGACTAGTTTTTCTGCAGATTTGAACCACCTAACAGGTCTAATCATTGAATATACTTAATATACTAGGTCTAAAATTGAAGTATTCAATAGAACCCTCTATGATAAATTCAAAAAAGATTCAGAATGACATTAACCTCAACACTGGATCTGAATCAGAATTACAATTCTTCATAGAGCTGAACTAGGAAGACAAGGCTAATTTCATTCTAAGCAGCCTGACAATTGCATGACGTGAGAGCAAAAGTACCAATGATTCATACAAATCTTCATTTTATAGAGTTTTCTTCCCTGAACAATGTTAAGTCATATTAAAAAATCCCCCCCCCCCCCCCACTGTCCCCATTAACCTTTCTGTGTTACTCTTGGAGTTAAGGCAGAAATTCTTGAAATGGCATATACTCACTTTGACAACATTTTGAATTAGTGGGATGTTTCAGTTAATGAGAGTTTTTGCAGAGTAGCAATTTTTGAAATTTAAATCCAATAGGACCATATATGGGAAATTCAAAAAAGATTCAGAATGACATTAACCACAACATTGGATCTGGAAATCGAATAAAGCAACTGATTGATGTGATCTCGGATGACTCTTGTAAATCAGAATTACAATCCTTCATAGAGCTGAACAAGGAAGACAAGGATTACTTTTCATTCTGGTAGTAATACATGGACATGGTCCAAATCTTGATACGCTTCACCATAGCCCAAAGAAAGGGAAATTGGGAGCTTCATCTCAATGTATTTCAATGCATGATCCCCTTTTTCATGAGATATGACCACCAAAAGTATGCAAGATGGGGCACAGTACACTTCACTGCTGAAGTTTTGCTTCCTTGAAGACTGTAGCCAAATCCTCAGATGTAGATGCAATTGATGCTAATTTGTAAGAAGGATCATATATGGAAATATTACGGTTGGCATTTCAATACCATTTGTTAAACAGTTAAGGAGTAGAGTACATTTGAGTTGGCTTGAATGTTTCATTCGTCAATGAGAGGGCTATTGGAAAAGACATCAGCTCATGTTTCATGATTTCATTGATGCCCACAGGTCTGTGGTTAGCTTCATATGCAGTGATAAGATTCTGCAAAACATTCCTGTCTGCCTTAACAACTTTCTGCTCGTTTATATTGGGATTAGGCATATAGTTTAAAAAATGTTGGTGCTTGCTCAGTAGATCAAGAAATGTTGTGTCTTTCATTTGACCCTGTTGGTATCAACCTCTAAGACACAGACATCCAGTTGTTGTTGGCCAAACTGTCCAGCCTGTTGATTGTTTCTGTGAGTACATCTTTTGTACATATACTTTGGAGATTAAGTAATGGATCTTCTGAAAACATGCCAAACTTCAGCAGCATGTCACATATTTTATCTTCTTCCAGAGACTGAATACTCTATCTTTTATGAGTACTAGTATCTACAACTATTTTTGATGTTATGAGTATTGGCTATCAATTTTTTCAATTTTTCTTCAACATGTATTGTAATGACTTCAGTATGAATGAAATGTCCCTTGGTGTTCTGGTCCTGGATTGTGATATTGGTTCTCGATTGGAGGGGGGAGGGGGGTGTTAGACATTGTTTCTTTTCAGGTTAGATTATGGTTTTGGGATATATAGGGTCTACTTTTCTTATGACAGATTTGCACTTGCGGTTTGCTTTTCTTGTTGGGTTTCTTTAATGTTTTTAGTCACCCTTCCCTTTGGCATTTGTGCTTATATATCCATAGATTCTTGTTTTGATTTGCAAATTACCACCCCCCCCCCATCTATGGAATCTCAAAACGCAAGTCCAAACATCATTCTTGTTTGAACTCCCCATGTGTGACCTAAGATTATACCCCGGTCCCCATCTGTTCAATGCAGATATTGTCTTTGTGTTATGCCTACAATTCTGCCACCCTTCTAACCAATAGCATACTGGCATAGGGGTCAATCAACTTGGTTGATTGAATTTGTAGAGCCTTTTACCACATAGTTCAATGCAAGAATCCTCACTCAACTGCAGCAGGTACTATATTCTAATAGTTAGTGCATTTCCTCTACGTTTACTGTGCCACACCTTCCATAATTTTGGTGGTCATGAAATAAGAGATCATGCATTGAAATGCATTGAGATGGAGCTCCTAATTTCCCTTTCTTTGGGCTTGGATGAAGTATAGCAAGACTTGGACCAGGTCCATGTATCAACACCAGGATGAAGTTAGCCTTGTCTTCCCTGTTCAGCTCTATGAAGGATTTTAATCCTTATTCAGATCTAATGTTGAGGTTAATGTCATTTTGAATTTTTTTTTGAATTTTCAAAGAGGGTTCTATTGAATACTTCAATTTTAGACCTAGTATATGAAGTATAATCAATGATTAGACCTGTCATTGGTTCAAATCTGCAGAAAAACTAGTCAGAATATATCATATATTAAACCTCCGAGCTATGAAACAGTAGTAGGTACCAATAAACTCTAAGCCTGGAAATAATAAGGGTATTCTAATAGTGTACCTTAATACTGTCTGTTTAGACCTTTATTTGTAATGATTTTCAATGATTAAGCCTCTTAGATGGTTTAAATAAACAGAGAGTCAGCTCGGAATATGTCATACATCAAACTAATCTATGAAATCATAGCTTGTTAAAGTTGATTATTTTGGTCAATCTTGCATATTTTGCTTTAATATTTCAGAATTATTTACTTCATTTAATGTGAATTTTGTTGTGAACATTTAATGATAATCTGCTTATAAAGTAAAAAACTACAGCATTTTACAACACATGCCCCATGTGGCCACCACTCCAGCCAACGAAGCTGTTGATGACTCTCCTACACATACCAACATGGATTGCAAAGCTTCTGATGAAGCTATCCACTTAAAATTGAAGAACATCTGAGAATTTGTCTGACACTAGTTTTACTTCTCAAGATAGATTTTAGTCACGCCATGGACAATTGAACAACTTCCTTCGCCAGATTTGATTGTGCATGTAGAGGAGAAGGGGCCACATTGGACATATGTTGTAAAGTGCTGTAGTTTTTGACTCCACAGGCAGATTATCATGAAACTTTCAAAACAAAATTCATATTGAATGAACTGAATAATTCTGAAGTTTTGAGGCAGAATATGCAGGATTGACAAAGTTAATTAACTTTTCTTCGGTCCTGTTTTTTGGACACCCTGTACCAGTAGAATGATACTAGGCTAATGGTATACTTGAACTTAATCGATTGCAGACCTATGATTTAAGAATGAATTTTCAATGATAACACCTAAGATTGTTCAAACCACCAGAAAGCCAAGCCAGGATATATCATACATTATTTGTCTAAGCTAGAAAACTAATATTGGTACAAATATGTTCATAAATAAGAAATTATAGGGGTCTTCCAAGGGTATACCTATATCTTATCAATTTTAGACATCATATTTCATGAATTTTTAATATTTGAACATGCTAGAAAGCTTAAATCTTCCTAAAACTTAGCTAAAATAAGTTTTATATTTTAGATTTATTCTAAAATGCCAAATATATGAACACAGAGGGATAAATGTTAAAGCAATAGGGGTCAGTTATAGTCACACATAAAATCAGTCCCAGCTAAAATGTCATATTTTCTTAAATTCACTAATTTTTTTCAAGGCAATTATCAAAGGAATTACTTTGATTCTTGCAGGATTAGTAGACCAGGTATTAAGCCTTTTACATGGATTTTTTTAGCATCCATCATTGTCTAATAAAAAAGTTATGACACGAAAAGTAAAAAATGGGTCATAAATTTGCCCCCTGGGGTACATACTTTTTGCTTTAATTCAAATTTCTTAAGTGTAATCCGTATCATTCATACTTTAAATGTTTATTTTATACAATGTCCATGTATTTCACTTACAAAAACCATAAAATCAAAGTTATTTTAGGTTGACGAATTTTTTCCCTCTGATAGGGGTGAATTTTGGGGGTAGGGGGACTAACATGGTATTTTAAGGGTTAAATAATCATATTTCAGCTTGCCAACATGGTTTTTTGGATTCAGCATAAAAAGTTACATAAGAAACACTTGTCAGAACACTTTTAACACTAAACGCCTACCACATTTCCTCTAGATGAAAATGCACCTTGTCTATTATGATTATGCAATCCCATTATTTGATTAATCATCAAAAAAATGATTTTACGTTTTATATTTCTAAAATTCTACCTTTTGTATTTTTAAAACTCTAGACAGGATAATGGGTGTACTGTTACATTTTGAAACGCCAATTTATTTGTGTTATTGCTTGTCTGATATATAATGTAGATACTACCTAATCATTGCTAGTTACCATCGAGTGATAGCGAAGACATTTTTCAAAATTTCATTATTTTTATCTTGTCCTTTTGCCTCTATGTAAAATCGAGAAAGATCACATCTTATTATAAGTTGCTTTAATTGAAAAGAGAAAGATGATGAAGTAGAGCTGTGAAAAGTTGCTCATGAGACTCTCTGATAACGTAGGAATAAAATCAGAATGACTTTTAAATAGAGACATGACGTGTTTAGTATGACAAGTTTAACTGTGTTATTGATTTTCTTGCTTTCTTGTTCCTTCGCCGACACTTAAAATATATTTGCATTCAATATCTCTTTGGAGACTATCGTCATGGCCTTTGTGTTCTGTGTGTACATTTCTTTCAGTGCCATCGATTATAAAGGAATGTTATTTGCCCGTCTTGTTCGTTTATTTATCTGTGAGATTAACAAGGTTTCGATAAGTACCTACATAACTTACATAGCGGATATACTGCTCTAATAATGCTGTGTTATTAAACGTGAGACAAATCAGTTCATTATAATCTATTCATTCTTTGGAAACGTATACACAAAGAACCTTTGTATGACCTGACACTGGATATGGTTTTGATGGTTGTCGGAGAGAAGCGTCATAACTGACTGAAATATTTTCAGGATCAGAAATGCTTCCGTTCTCAAAAGGTATATAAGTTGTGTATTTTCGGATGGTACTACTGTCACACAAGAGCAACGATGTTGGGATTCAATGTTTACCTAAGCCATATTTAGGAGTTACCTCGTGTTTAAGTCCCGGGGTTTAAGTAGAACACCTCCAAAGTGGAACACCTTTTAGAGGTGCCATGGGTTTTACTGTAGCCTACATACAATTACTTTACCCGAAACAACGCAATGGGAGATTGTACAATATTATGATCTTGTAATTCCAAAGAAAATCAAATGAATACTTGAAATACATTTAACTAGAGTATGTTTTCAGTCCTTTCAAATTACTTGCTATTGTTCCGTTAGTTTATTGAGAGTATGTTTTCAATATACTTGGCTATTAATCATAATCCCTTCTCTATTAACCGTGACATTGTAAGATATTGGCACCAAGTATTTTAAAGTGAATAAAGTTTCCGGAATAAGTTATGAACTTGTGGATTACAAGTAATAGCAACAGTAGCCATTGTATTGCTAATAGTCGAGTCTCATCTTGTATTCGCGAATGCAACTAACACCTGTCGGCTACCGGATTAACTTACTATTTTATGACACCTCATTTAAAAACGAATAGTACCTGCCACTATTCCATTCATATTTAAAAGAGTTGGTCATAAAAACTAGTTTAATCCGGTAGCCGACAGGCGTTAGTTGCATTCGCGAATACAAGGTCAGATACATTGATTTATTTTCAGAAAAATACATTAGAGACGATGTCATCAAAGCAGAGATAACATCGGATATGTCTTGACAACTATAGTATCAGAGGACACTTACATGTGATACCATGATACCGTGATGATGATGATACCGTGATGATTTGGTTGATGATCAAACGTAACGATACCTACATAAACGCATATTGGACAAATAGGGACTCGAAGCAGGATCCTTTGATTTTCCCCTCATTTTTTCAGTAAGTTCCACTGCCAGCCCAAGGATCCATAATCAAGGTTTGAAAAATGCCTCCGAGGAATCGCAAACGGTCGCCCATGAAGGGACATCCAGGGAGCATGAGAAATCAACACACTAAGATTGTCATGCTTTTTAATAAAGCCACTGGAGGGACAGTTGTTAACTACATGCTTGTTGATGAGGCCAAACGCATCCTGTTACCTCGTGTTGAGAATGTTAAGTTCCCGATGCTTCATGACGTGATCGACTTCAGGGCTTGTGTTCTCAATAACTGTGTTTATCTACTAGGAGGGAAGGATAGAGAGAGTGGGGAAGTTTTGAAACAGGTATAATATAGTACGTCTTATACGTCTTTGTAAGGTCATTTCATTCTTGAATGCTTGCCCTCAATTCCCTGACGTCCGTTAGTCGGAGAGCGATTTTGGCTAAATATTGTTCATTCATTTCATATTCAGATATTTAAACTTCCTTATAGTTCATGACAGTTGCTACGTACATTGCTAAGGGTTCATTTGAGATGATTAAGATAGCGAAGTGAGAATCCCTTGGACTTCTTGGTGAAATCCTCATATTTATAAATGTAACCAATAAAACTTCTGCCAAAATACAGTTACCATCAACTTATGATCAGATGATGGCAACTCCTTTTATTTGAATTAATCATTGCTTGTAGGTGTTGAAGTTTGAGCCTCACACCAATAAACTTATAGAATGTCCCCCTATGATAAGCCCCAGGGCCAAATTCACAGCAACTGCGTTGGATGGAAGACTATATGTGGCAGGTAAGACACTGTTATTCTTAAGTAATTGGAATGAATGGAATGATTTGCCCCAGGATTCATTTCCATTCCCATAGAGAGTCGATCGGATGTAGTATTTGTTACTGTAATCGAACATTATTTTACATTTTCATGTCAACGCAAAGAAGAAGTGATATAATTTTATGACCACCTTTTTGTGATCTGAATTCTGCGTCTGTTACCCATTTTTCACATTCCCAAAGAATTCCTTAATAGTGCATTATAGAAGTGTTCTTTGATTATCAACGAAGACTTCTAATATTATAGGAGGCTACAACAGGAATAACAAGCTTACTGCCAAATGTGAGAGCTTCGAGCCACTGGTGAACACTTGGTTTAAGGAGACATCTTTACCAGAGGGGATGAAACTCCACGCATGCGTCGAGGATCCCAAACGACGAAAGTTGTACCTCTCCGGGGGTACCACTGTCAAAGAAGGGTGCAGTGTTAAAATGTGGTATGTTATATCAAGATACAATAATATTCTAAGAAAGTGATTCGAATGAAAAGATCAATTGCAAAATCTACTGATGAAGAAAAAGGTGTTCGTGTATTTAGTAAATGAACTTTAAAGTGGATTTACATTGTTAGCTTAGTACATATTTGTTGTATTTTTCATTTTCTTACATTTTACGTTTTCCCACCGCACCCCTTCATGATCACATCTTACTTACTTCCCCACCTTAAATGTTTGTCTGTCATAGCGGGTTAGCCTATGGTCTTGTTCCGAGCCTCTTGTATTGTGTACGTGAACAGCCATTCATTTTACTTTGATTTTGTTTCAGGGAACTATTCAAACAACTTGAAGACTACACTAACCCGACATCTTGCTGGTTGTGGCAGAGGTTTGGAGGGACTTACATGGACTCCCCCGCCCTCCTTCCGCAGGGTCTGAGGTCGCATTGTATGCTCATCAGCAGAGATAAGCTTTACGTCATTGGAGGTAATGCTGTTGTCGTATTTGGTTTCTCTGATTTGTCCCATATTCCTCTATTTAAATGAACGTTTTGTTCAGATGGTATACAATTCTATAATAATTCTAACGTTTGGCGTTGTTGGTCAACATTTCTTTGAAAATCACATTTTAACCGATTTGTTTGTGAATCCATCTTGTATTTTATTTCCATATATTTTGAATACTTTCTCATGATATATCATCATCATCCCTTTCAAATGATGTATCATTATCATTCCAGGACATATGAAGCCAACAGAGAGACAAAAACTTCGAATTTTGAGAAGACAAAATGAAGAAAAGACATTTAAAGAATGTAAAGATGAGGACAAACCTGGCACACCCACGAACGTTGACTCGTCGAATAATGATGTAGAACAACAGGGATGCCCAATCGATGAGCCTACACGTGATCCTGATACTAATACAGAGACTGTGACTGAAGGTGCTGATACACTTGTACAAGATCAAAACGGCCAAGACATTGCTGTTTCTAATACAACTATAGCTCATGTTGTCATGGAGACATCAAATACACTTGATGGTGCTATTGAAAATGCAATTCCAGACAATTTGGATGATATCATATCTATTGACTCTGGTACGGGGCTATCGGACACAGAGAGTGAACACTCGGTGGATAAGACTCAGAATCAACAAAGAGGTGATACACTTGAAAAAGAGGAAAATATTGACACTGATGTCATTGGTGATCCGGAATTAAACATTGCCAATGATCGTGGAAAAATAACTCCAACAGATGGTAATAATGATGATGAATTAAAAAGTAGTAATAACAGTGCTAATGCATCTAATGAGAGCATACCTAATGTCACAGAGGACGACGACAAACTCAATGAACCCATTGACTATACTGAAATTGCACAAGATGATGAAGGGAAAAATGTAAAAACAGAAACAACTTCCTATGATAACATGAGTATGAAAAATGACAGGAATAATGTTGAAGTAAATGGCACTGATAAAGCGCCAAATATTGATACAGCTCGTCATAAAAACACAGATGTTTGTGACAACCAAATAGAGGAACATACACATGGAAGTACAGACACAAATACAATTGAAGATTCAACTGACATTGATATAAAGGATGGTGTTTTGAATGAGAGCACAGAGAAAAATATTAATCATGTTAACGATCTCATCAAAATTGAAGACAAAGATGAAGAGAATAGTACAGACAAAAATGCAGAGAGCGTCTTAAGAAATAACAATAATGATGTTGATGGAGAAGAACTGGTCTTGGATGAAACAAGTGATAATATTAAACAACAAATTATAAACCTCCCCAAACTGAATATCATGAACAAACCTGTAGATAAAGATAAGTTTCAGTTTCGTTTGGATGAGGGACAGCATAGATTACCAACTATCATTGAGGAAAATGAAACATTGAGGACGAAAACATCAAAAGGTACTAAAAGTGTTAGTGCAAAGACTAATACCACAGATAATAGCAAAGGGACAACAGATGACAATAACGACGTATCGATTGATAAATTAGCACCAAAGAAGAAACCTCAATCACAAAATATTTTTGCATCTCAAGGTAAGTGGATCTGACAAATATTTCGCATAAGGAATTCACAAATACTGAACGTGTAGAAACAATGAACGTCTCTGTGTTTGTAAAATATTCATAGGTTTGAATACTGGAGAGTATCATTTGCAATCCTTATTTTATTTTACCAAATATCAATTCTTGAAGTTCTGGTTCCATTTTTTAACTTTTTGCCAGATATTACCTGAATAATCAAAGAATGGGAGCAAATAAATGAAATTGTGACATTTTCAAAACTTACTTTCACAATTATGTTTCTGTAGAAATCCAGGCTTTTGAGTTAAGTTCGGAGAAAAGAAGAGAAAGGGAGACACCCTGGAGAGTTCATTGGCCGCGTATGAGTTCTCAGAGGGTCGGAGCTGGACACGTAATGATAGGTATGTGGGGAATTATTGGAAGATCATTTATCTTGATAGTTCTTTGAATATAATGCATCATCCTGTCACAGGGATAATTTTTCTACTTTGTCTTTATATTCTACGAACAGAAAAAATAAATGTTGTGGGCGACTTGAACAGAAAATGTTGCAGTAAATTGTTTTGTTTTTCAGGCAATAAGGTTTATATGATAGGTGGTACGAACGAAGATCAGGAAAGTGTACACCATGTTGAATACTGGCACGTGAAGAAACGGGAATGGACGACGACATTTTCCCTCCCCCCTGGGGATTACTCGGACATTGACTGCTGTTTAGTGGACATGCCGAAGTCTAATCATAATTTCAAGTTGGATTGCTCCCTCGCTACTGGACGCTGGGTCATGTGGTGAGGAATTTGCGTGAAAGATCCACCGTCTTCAAAGGGAAGGAGAGGGACCATACTTAAGCAATGAGTTGGGCTGAATAGGTAAATGACACGGGATGGCATCGAACTAATGAGCTTCTCTTTCGAGAGAAAATCTGATATACAGTGCATCAGATGCGCACAGCTAAACCAACGTACCAGCCAACCAACAATTACGATACAGGAAGAGTACAAGAGTATTCGGGATAGAGTATCATCATTATGTTTGCTGGATCTAAAAAGGTCTCTCCACTGTTTGATTCGACATTCTGAGACATTTGATGAAACCATAATGTTTATTTTGAAAAAAACACTATAGAACATGTCGCCTTTTACCCTTTGCATTCGACTCTGCTTCCTAAAAGAGCTTCCTCTAGTTTATAATTATAGGGTGACTCTCAGGGTTGTCGCGATGAAAAGATTTTTTACCCTTTTTATGTAACACCAGAGATGACACGTGCTTTGATGTGTAGTGTACAATGTACGGACATTTGGAATAAAATAAACGCATGCTTTGTGTCCAACAATCAAACATTGTTTACTTTTTTATTTTTGTCGATAATCATAATATTTTTAGTTTTGATATGATTGCGTCATCATTTATTGCACAGGTCTATACGTCCATAAGTATGATAATAGGGAGTTTAAGCTTCCATACAAAATCGAAACGCCAACCTCATGAACCTGTACGTATGACCAATTGCGTCCATACAAATGCATTGTTTAACTAGTTTGTTTTCACGTTTAGGTTGTGAAAAACATTGCAAGCTTAAACTCCCTATTATTCCACGCAGACGACGATTGATAAGAATATCACACTTATGGACGTATAGAGCTGCGCAATTTAAATAATGACCTAATCAAACGCTTCATAAGTAATACTTCAAACGGGTATAATAAACATGCTATAAGTGATTTGTGAAAACTAACACCCCAGTCACATTTCCTGCGGCCGCCGTGCGGTCTATCATTTCTGCGGCCAGTTGCTTTTCTACGCTCGCCGCAGAATTTCTGCGCTCTCATACTTTTGCAGTCACATTTCCCACGGCAGCCGCACGGTGAATTTTAAATTCCTGTTGATAAATAGTACTTTTTTTCATTTTATTTACATCAGGACAATTTATAAATGTTATTCATAGTGCTAGGATGTAATATCAAATGAAAAGTGATCGTGAAACATTGACAAATAATGATTCAATCTTGTTGAGCCAGTTGATTTCTACGGGGACCTCAGAAATGAACAAATATTATAACTCCGAGTTATAATTTCTACGGCGACCCTGCGGCCTGTAAAAAACTGGATACGCCGTACGGAGGCCGCAAGGCGAGCGTAGTTTTTCTATGCTCGCCGCTGAAATTCACCGATTTAATTGATCTGCGGCCGAGTTGCGGCCGCCGTGCGACAAATGTGACTGGGGTGTTAATGTTCTTCGAATTAAACGTTTCAGAAATATTCATCCCTCTTCATTAATTGAACTATTGTAATAGTTCACACTATGTACGTGCGGTTATTAAATTATCATGATGCAGCTGCTGTTATGAATCTAACAAGTGTTGAAATAGGTTGAAATTAAATGTAAATTTCTTTTTATAATTATTCAAACAAATCCCGTCAACTTGATTGGATAGTGTGGACTTTTGTGAGGAAAAAATTTCACGATGGAGATATACAATTTATAGTTTCTTTAAAATTAGGTCGACGGACAGAGGATGTAAAATGCGAGCATGGCAATCTCATTCCTAACAATTTAAAGTTTGTTTTCCAAAAAAGAACTGGTATCTAATCAAGTATTGAAAGTATTTGAATCCACGATGCAATATGTCAAAATCAAATTTTGGATTATCCTGGAATAAACTTAGCGGAAGTGTTGAACCTTTCAGAAATAGGCAAGGCATGGAATGACGAGATGCCCTCAACTTGTCAAACCCTTCTACTTTTTAATATACTAGTTTTGTTTCTCTTCGTTTTATATTATTTGCGTTAGAGGAACTCGGTGCCTATTCCCATGGTCCTTGCTATTCCTGACATTAAGTAATCAAAAAACATTATAAACTTTTTCCATTAATGATAAGATCCCTTGTATTCTGTGAGTATTGCAGACTGCTAACATAATGTGTAAATTAATCGCATTATTTTAAAATTCGAAAAATGTGCATGCGCCTTTTTTCAATGTGGAACTTGTGTTGCCAACTCAATGGGCACTGTATTAGGCTTTACTACATTCAACAGAAAAGATGGTTTGTATCTTTATCAATAATGCAAATTATAAGTTGTTATGTATTCTGAATAATGGCACTGGGCCACTTTAATGCTAAGAATTTATTCATAGTCGACGCATCGACTATTTTTGTATGTAGAAAGTACATAATTGCAAAATCAATTGAATGTAAATACGCAATTTGACCAGAACCAATAAACTATTTGCACTTTAAACGGAGCCGTGACAAAGCGAATGTACACAAATGGATATTGCTGATATATTTAACTATTGTTTCGAGTCTTTTCAGAATTTTCCCAAAATAAACGAACTCCCAAAATATTGTTGAAGACCCCTAGAGACCTTTCCGTTAACGTCAAACAAAAACTGGAGATTATGAAACTTTACCTTGTTTTACTTGATTCCACCATTCTCAAAGTAGATGGGATGTCAAGAACTTGGGATTATCTCTCGTAAGTTACAAATCAGTTTTTCAATACTATCAATATGCAATTACTGTAATTAAACAATCATTAATAACATTTCGATGTATTATGAAATATGTTACCATAGAAAAGTTTGCATTGGGCCATTTTGAATGGAATATGCTTAAAAAGTGTGTTGTCAAATTACCGTCACAGTCGCTTCGATTTGTTGCACACGTCTCAACAAATCCGACTCTTTTCTGTTACTTTCTATTGTTTAGTTTTGAACTTAAAGGAATGAGAAGAACGGATACAAACGAGATAAAAGAAGGTTTACAGAAAAATGTCACAATTTTGCTCCCAAAAATTAAAAAGGATTGCCTGCAACATTTCATTCGCTCTATCCCTTCTTTCCTTTGAAAAAACAAGCTTTACTATGGATGAAGGACGGGGGGTGTATTAAAATAATTTTTGCCAGAGAGGTGTGAAGTTTTTGTATATATTAAACCTTGTTTTAGATAACTCCATAGATCCTAAGGTATAAAATAAATTGGAAAGTAAAGATCTTCCCTGGAATATACAGATACCCCAGATGACCATGGTCGTGAATGTTTTCTGTCAATTGCTGGTAGCGTCCATCGTTGTTTTACAACTAGGTGAGTCTACATGTCATTCTTGTGATTTAACTATGCAGTTCTCATCTCCATTCTCGCGACTTTGGTTTGCATTGCTTCATATCGCTACGTGTACGACCACAATGTGAAAAACACGTTAAATGTCTCTAATTTTGGAATATAACTTTCACATTTATCATGGAGTCCTCGTGAATTTCCTTTTGTATTTAGAATGTTCACAATGAGCAACAATCAAACAGTGATGTATGTTCATACACTCCCCTGCATAAGATTGGCAACTGGAAGTCCCATTTTGGATTAATTCATTATAAATTTATAAACTTGTGTAATGTTTTTTATTTTAGGATTTTCAACTGCTCAACTTCAAAATGCTCTTGTGCCCAGATTGTGTTGGGAATGTGACGAGGACATTCAGACTTTGACGCCAAACTGTCCCTCCCCATTCGACATTACAGATTCCACGTTTACGTTGAACTACACCATATGCCCCAGTGGGCAGTATTATTGCAAGGTATTAGAAAGAGAGCTCTATCTAGTTATTTATTAACTGACCATTCAATTTTACTCTGCCAATAGTTTTTGACACTTCTTATCGATCGTCCCTTCTTGCACTATATACATGTAGTTTGTCGTGTTCATATTGCGTTTGTCACATTTTCTGGCATGTTCATATTGTCTGTTAGATCATTTAAAGTCATTTATAATTAGTCACATTAGTAATCATTAGTAACATTATGAATTATCATACATAGTTAATCACATCATCAAACATATGATATTTGAAGATGTAACAACCACTTGTTTACATTTAAAGCACTATATTACCAAATGCATCACTATGCTTTCAGAAGACAATCAGCGATGCATTCAGCGGGGCCAAAGTGTCCAGATCATGTGCTGAGACTTGCAAAGAATCTGAAGTCCTGTTTGGAATAGGAGAAACCGTGTCATGTTGTACGTCTGATAAATGCAATGGTACAGTTAGATATACAGAAGAATGGATAGTCTTGGTCTTGTCACTTGGATTTATTGCTTGGATACACTGCTTGAAAGATTCATTATAAACCTTGGATATTATATTTCAAACTTGGATGGGTTAGAATAAAGGCTGGATAATATCAAAGTTAAGTTTGGAAAATATTAAAACCTTGATAGTTCATGATAACATTGGATAATTCAGTGATGATTTATGTGTGAAGTAGATGACTTATGACATTAAAATGAAAGAATATGTAGAAGTGTCAAAGCATATTTTGATGAGATGACCTCCTTTAAGATAATGAATATAAGTGTATATATCTTACAAATAACATATACAGCTTGTAAAATAGTTGATGATGGATAAGTCAGGGAGAGCTTGTGCCCATATTATGTTCCAATGTCCAAAGTCCACTTTGCCAAACATTTGCCAATTGCTCATATCACTTGAATTGCCATGGGCATGCCAAGGGATATAAATATGGCAAGGAATCATATGCGCCAAATTTTTGGTAAAGGTTGCATTCGCTATTTTTGTCTGCCTTTTATCAAAGGCACTCTTTCGGACTGTATCATACAGATATCATACACTATAGTCTATGTATCTTTGTCTCATAACTTTTTGGAGAAACTATACTAGTATAGAATTTCTGATTTATATTACACAGTATTTATTTCCAGTTATATAATATGTACATAGAACTTCAATTATATTTTCATATAATTCTTACAACATGTTCTGTATATATACAAGGTTCCTTAACCACTGGGTCTCAGTGTGTTGCCAGCCAACTGTGGCTTAGCAACAAGATGACCTTGAAATTCCAGTACCATGTTTTATTAATAGAAAACAACTGCATTACAAGAGTATATACAGTGGTTACCTAAACATTACACCGTAAAGGACACAACTTAGTTTTTCAACAACTTAGTTTTTCAACAAATTGACTAACTTGAAGATGCCTCTCAGAAAATATTCAATTCAATTATAACTTGTTAAAGGATAAATGAGGGGGAGGGGGTTATTGTTCTACAATCAAGAAATACTCTCCAAATAAAACGGGTGTAGCTAAGACCTAAAGTGTGTGAGGCAAACATAAATTGGCAAAACTGCAATTAAGTAAAAGATTTTTCACATTTTCAATTGAAAAAAAAATGAATTAACATTTTTCTTTAAACCGATTGCTTCACCTGCCATATGCATAGCTACACCCATAATATGAATTATATTTGGAACAATGTGGCAATGATCAACTGAATTGATGATACAGAAGTAAATACTGTATGTCATAAACACTACCCGCAATACCCCGTACAAGCACACTACAGTAGTTATGTGGTAATACTGTATTATGCCTTTACCATCAAATTGTGACTTAGCAAACAATATATTAACTCTATAACTCATCGTTAGTATCCCCTTAAAATGTGAACCCCTTAGAGTAGAGTTGTTATGCTAGACAATATCCCAACACCTCATTTCACATTTTGTGTCGTGACAAAATGTTTCTCAGTTCACTGTGCTGCTCTTAAATCATCGGAATTCTTGTGTAAAATTCTAAAATCACTCATCATAAAACTTTTATGATGACCATGCTTTTCTAAAATAGAAACTTGAAGAATGAGTATCTAAAGTTTACTCAATGTATAGGTGTAAAACCAGAACAACGGCAACGCCAAAGCGTAGCAAATCCCATCGAACAGATATAGCTGGCATTTTTACAAACGAATAGCAAATATAAAACAAGGCATTAACATGACAAAATGTCACCACCTAAAACAATTTGGTAAATTTAAAGCAAGTTGGAAAATACCTTTTGACCTTGAGAAGGTCATTGAAGGTCAAAGGTCAAATCTAAAGTCAGATTTGAACTTCTGAGAACTTGTAAAGTCAAATTTGAACTTTTGAAAAGATGTAGATGATTTTGAAAAAAAAATTTGGTCAATTTGAAGCAAGTTGAAAACAGACCTTTTTGACCTTTTTTGACCTTGAGAAGGGCATGAAAGGTCAAATGTCAAATCTAAAGTCAGATTTGAATTTCTGAGAACATGTAGATGATTTTGAAAAAAAAATTAGTCAATTTGAAGCAAGTTAAAAAAGACCTTTTTGACCTTTTTTGACCTTGAGAAGGTCATTGAAGGTCAAATGTCAAATCTAAAGTCATATTTGAATTTCTGAGAACATGTAAATGATTTTGAAAAAAAAAATTAGTCAATTTGAAGCAAGATGAAAAAATACCTTTTTGACCCTTTTTGACATTGAGAAGGTCATTGAAGGTCAAATGTCAAATCTAAAGTCAGATTTGAATTTCTGAGAACATGTACATGATTTTGAAAAAAAAATTTAGTCAATTTGAAGCAAGTTGAAAAAAGACCTTTTTGACCTTTTTTGACTTTGAGAAGGTCATTGAAGGTCAAATGTCAAATCTAAAGTCAGATTTGAATTTCTGAGAACACGTAGATGATTTTGAAAAAAAAATTTAGTCAATTTGAAGCAAGTTGAAAAAAGACCTTTTTGACCTTTTTTGACTTTGAGAAGGTCATTGAAGGTCAAATGTCAAATCTTAAGTCAAATCTAAAGTCAGATTTGAATTTCTGAGAACATGTAGATGATTTTGAAAAAATTTTTTAGTCAATTTGAAGCAAGTTGAAAACAGACCTTTTTGACCTTTTTTGACCTTGAGAAGGTCAAATGTCAAATCCTAAGTCAGATTTGAATTTCTGAGAACACGTAGATGATTTTGAAAAAAAAATTTAGTCAATTTGAAGCAAGTTGAAAACAGACCTTTTTGACCTTTTTTGACCTTGAGAAGGTCATTGAAGGTCAAATGTCAAATCTAAAGTCAGATTTGAAGGTCAAATGTCAAATCTAAAGTCAAATCTAGTCAGATTTGAATTTCTGAGAACATGTAGATGATTTTGAAAAAAAATTAAGTCAATGTGAAGCAAGTTGAAAAAAGACCTTTTTGACCTTGAGAAGGTCATTGAAGGTCAAATGTCAAATCTAAAGTCAGATTTGAACTTCTGAGAACATGTAGATGATTTAGAAAAAAATTGAAGTCAGTCTAAACAGTATTTGTTAAGTTATAGGAAGTTGTAAGAAATTGTTACAGACGCCGGACGCCAACCTCCAACCACCAACCGCCAACCACCAACCGCCGTCGCAAAAAAAACGGAGACCATAACAATATGTCACCACTTTTGGTGGTGACATAACAACACACCAGAAAGGCCACCATTTTCAAAATGGTTGCTCACTTGCCAAGGTGTCATCAGAAGAAATAATATGCTTTTAAGTAGCCACCTCTAAAATTTTTGAAAAATCGCACACGTACTTGTAAAATAACACACATAAAAATGGTGGCCATTTTTCAAAATGGCCGCCTACTCCCCAAAGTTTTATTAGACAATGTGCCATGCTTACAGTATTCACATATCAAATATGTACAAAATCGCTCCATTACTTTTCGAGTTATAGTAAAATACGTTAAAATGGCGGCCATTTTTCAAAATGGCCACCTTCTACCAAAAGTGGCATTAGAAATAGACAGTGTGCCATGCTTATAGTATTCACATACCAAATATGAACAAAATCGCTCCACTACTTTTCGAGTTCTAGTAAAATATGTTAAAATGGCGGCCATTTTTCAAAAAAAAATTCAAAATGGCCGCCTTCTACCAAAAGTGTCATAGGACAGTGTGCCATGCTTATAGTATTCACATACCAAATATGAACAAAATCGCTTCACTACTTTTCGAGTTCTAGTAAAATACGTTAAAATGGCGGCCATTTTTCAAAATGGCCACCTTCTACCAAAAGTGTCATTAGAAATAGACAGTGTGCCATGCTTATAGTATTCACATACCAAATATGAACAAAATCGCTCAACTACTTTTCGAGTTCTATTATTAAAATGGCGGCCATTTTTCAAAAAAAAATTCAAAATGGCCGCCTTCTACCAAAAGTGTCATAGGACAGTGTGCCATGCTTATAGTATTCACATACCAAATATGAACAAAATCGCTCCACTACTTTTCGAGTTATATTAAAATACGTTAAAATGGCGGCCATTTTGAAAAATGGCCGCCTTCTACCAAAAGTGTCTTTAGACAGTGTGCAATGCTTGTAGTATTCACATACCAAATATGAACAAAATCGCTCCACTATTTTTGAGTTACAGCAAAAATCATAAAATGACGAGTAAAGGCCGCCATTTTTCAAGATGGCTGCCATGCGCTTCTTTAATATCTACATTTGTAGCATTATTAATGTCCTTTATAATTTTTTTACATTTAAAACATATTGCTATTACAGTTTTACATATTGAACCTAAATTACTGTAAAATCGGCACTAAAATGGCAGCCATTTTGAAATGATCGGCCATTTTGAAAATCGGCTTTCGAGCAGATTTTCTATCCCCATAGGGTATATGTGTACAAAATATGAACAAAATCGGGCCAACGGTATTTGAGTTATTGCCCGGACGGACGGACGTACGGACGGACGGAGGTGTTCCCTATATCCCTCCGAACTTCGTTCGATGGGATAATGATTCAAATAGCTATGGCCATCACAAAAATGTTTATGATTATAATAATATACACCTTGTAAATATTTTTGCAATAACCATTTTTACTGCAGTGTATTATTTTGTATATTTTGAAATATATACACTGTACAAGACAAGTAAAATGTAAACTTAACAACTTTTGATGGTTTCATAAATCAATAAATAAATATTGTAGAAGTGCAAAAGCCAGTTCCATCAGCATTGCCAGTCTGCTTAGCAACAGTTACCTAGCAATGCATCATTAAATGTTGTCACAGCAACAATAACTAGCTGATGCATCTTCCCAAGCACAATCCAATCATCACGTTTCAACTAAACACAGTGCATATAATAGGATTTCAGAACAATGCCATTATTTTGTTAATGACTCCTTTGAAATTGAGAGTTTCTCTTTTCACCCTAGATAATAGTCTCATATAATAATTTGATTAGATTATGGTTGTCGTGGCAACAGGCCCTCTTTGTGCATTCACCAGAGGGCGCTTATCTGCCTCATCCACCTCCTGCCATTGGTGGTGGACTCGGACCACCTGGAAAAGAAATTTCAATATTTTACGCTTTGATTTCCTGAAAAGAAACTTCTATCAATAACATAGTATTCATTGCATTTTCAATGGAAGCTTAATTGATGGATTCTCTTAACTCAATCAAGTTCATAAGTTGGCACTTTACACATTTATTTAATAGTAGCCACCAAAGTTCATAAATTAACATGTTGATCATTAAATGTTGCCACCAAAGTGTGCAACCAAGAAAATCAAACTCCACTTGGCTAAAGGTAAGACATTCTTTGTTATATTTTTAAAATTGCACACATACATGTACATACAAAACCAAATACAAATGTCAAGTAAAAATAAGCGCCATTACAAAAGCACTACATTCAGCATATTCAAAAGCCTTTTCATTACATGCTGACAAAGTCTTCTTGTTCTATAAAATGGTGATAACTTATAAAATCTTATGTGATTCTACTTACCACCACCTCCTCTGAATCCTCCCATTCTTCTCCTTGGTGGGGGAGGGGGCCTGGAGAAAAATTATTTTAATCTTTATTGTTTTTACTCCAATGAAATTTAGAAAATAAATGCAAAACAGACGTACGAATAACTGTTGTTGATTTACAATAGTAGGTCTGGAAAAGTTCTGGACACTAAGGTTTCAAATTTTAGACCTGTAAGGCCACCCCTTTAATTCCCTTTTTTAAATATACCCATTTAAGCAGAGAAAGTGGATCAACTATTTCTCAAGAATCTTATTTGCAAAAGTTATTATTTGAGAAAAATAAAACTTTGAATGGACTGTATCTAAAAAGAATTAACTATTGGTTACTGAGTGGTAACATATTATGTGAAACATAACAATATGAAATGGAATCTCAACAAATTACATGGATCATATCATCATTCTACAACTTGCATACCCATTAATGCATGTGAATAAATTATATGATGTCATACTCAAATTATCAAATAGCACACTGGACATTATAGGATCATTCACTCTGAAATTGTATAAAATGAGGCTAAAGTGGCTATCATATAATAGATGTACTTACCCTTGTCCACCCCCACCTCCACCACCACCTCCAACTCTATAATCTGTAGTGTAGCTTTCTCTACCTTTCTTTGTTGTACTTGGCTGAAATATAATATAGAATGTACAACTCTATAATCTGTTGTGAAGCCTTCTCTACCTTTCTTTGTTGTACTTGGCTGAAATATAATGTAGAATGTACAACTCTATAATCTGTAGTGTAGCTTTCTCTACCTTTCTTTGTTGTACTTGGCTGAAATATAATGTAGAATGTACAACTCTATAATCTGTAGTGTAGCTTTCTCTACCTTTCTTTGTTGTACTTGGCTGAAATATAATGTAGAATGTTCAACTCTATAATCTGTAGTGTAGCTTTCTCTACCTTTCTTTGTTGTACTTGGCTGAAATATAATGTAGAATGTACAACTCTATAATCCGTAGTATAGCTTTCTCTACCTTTCTTTGTTGTACTTGGCTGAAATATAATGTAGAATGTACAACTCTATAATCTGTAGTGAAGCCTTCTCTACCTTTCTTTGTTGTACTTGGCTGAAATATAATGTAGAATGTACAACTCTATAATCTGTAGTGAAGCTTTCTCTACCTTTCTTTGTTGTACTTGGCTGAAATATAATGTAGAATGTACAACTCTATAATCTGTAGTGTAGCTTTCTCTACCTTTCTTTGTTGTACTTGGCTGAAATATAATGTAGAATGTACAACTCTATAATCTGTAGTATAGCTTTCTCTACCTTTCTTTGTTGTACTTGGCTGAAATATAATGTAGAATGTTCAACTCTATAATCTGTAGTGAAGCCTTCTCTACCTTTCTTTGTTGTACATTGCTGAAATATAATGTAGAATGTACAACTCTATAATCTGTAGTGTAGCCTTCTCTACCTTTCTTTGTTGTACTTGGCTGAAATATAATGTAGAATGTACAACTCTATAATCTGTAGTGAAGCCTTCTCTACCTTTCTTTGTTGTACTTGGCTGAAATATAATGTGCAATGTACAATTCAGTTGGACTTATTTGTTAATATTGTTTTATAATTGTTTTACATGACTGCCTTTATGTTGAATGCTTGAACTGATAAAATTAGAGACATCACAAAATCCATTTACATGTATCTGTGAATTCATAACACATTAGTGATAAAATCCCCAGACATCTAAGACATGATAAAGGAAGAACTTACGATTCATGTTTGGTTCACATAAGCCACATACATTATTTGAACTCTTGTGACTTGCTTAAATGATTAGAATCTACACATGCTTCAGTATTTTATATATTGTACCATTTATTTTATTTATTGTTAATTTGTACCATTTATTTTATATATTGTACCATTTATTTTATATATTGTAGCATTTACCCAACATTCAATGTCATAACAAGAACTTGTCACTTATTCGTTTATTTCCATGATACTGTAATATGTGATTCAAAAGGCAAATAAAAAGAGATCCCCAAGCTTATGTTGGGGCCTACATGATCCTCATGCTTATGTTGGGGCCTACACGATCCCCAAGCTTATGTTGGGGCCTACATGATCCTCATGCTTATGTTGGGGCCTACATGATCCTCATGCTTATGTTGGGGCCTACATGATCCCCATGCTTATGTTGGGGCCTACATGATCCCCATGCTTATGTTGGGGCCTACATGATCCCCATGCTTATGTTGGGGCCTACATGATCCCCATGCTTATGTTGGGGCCTACATGATCCCCATGCTTATGTTGGGGCCTACATGATCCCCATGCTTATGTTGGGGCCTACATGCTCCCCATGCTTATGTTGGGGCCCACATGATCCCCATGCTTATGTTGGGGCCCACATGATCCCCAAGCTTATGTTGGGGCCTACATGATCCTCATGCTTATGTTGGGGCCCACATGATCCCCAAGCTTATGTTGGGGCCTACATGATCCTCATGCTTATGTTGGGGCCTACATGATCCCCATGCTTATGTTTGGGCCGACATGATCCTCATGCTTATGTTGGGGCCCACATGATCCCCAAGCTTATGTTGAGGCCTATATGATCCTCATGCTTATGTTGGGGCCTACACGATCCCCATTTGGATGCATGTTGGAGGTCACATAGTAAAGGACATTCAAATGACAGAAATCACGTAGAACCCCACACATGTTGATATCATAATATTTACTTCTCTTAAATTAGCAAATAAAATCAATAGACTTACCATAACCATTGTTTGAAAGCTGGAAGATAAAGAATAAACACAAATTAAATACAGATAAATACAGCTGCTACATCTGAATCAAGCTGCCACAGATGGTGGAGTTTGAATGTGAGATAAATAAATTGAATTCCGATATTTCCCCTTAACCTTTTTTCTTGAATGTACCAAGCTTAAAAGTAATTGCTCACAAATTACGCATAAGACATAAGCATGTTTCAACGAGTGCATGTAGCTTGTGTAATTTCAATAAAGTAATTAACTTCCTATACTCGTATGTGAGCAATATTTCCGATGTTTACAGGGAAGGTTTGCAACAAAGTCTACAGGTGGTAATAAGTGATACTGAGTCCCTTAATTTAAACAAATATCTCTCGTAATATTATTTTATTTTTCAGTCTTTTGTGCAGTATGGTTATACCTACAGCCAAAAGGATCATGTAGTGTATCGCGAACAGTTTTGGACAGTTTTATTTTTGACAAGGAGTATTGTTAGACTACACATTCCCCGTTTTACATAAGAAGAATATACAATTCCCCTATCAGTGGTTACTGGCAGAGGGAAGGAGAAACTTTTCATATGGTTAAAATGAGAAAAGGAGATCTTTTTTAAATAAGAACATTTTCGAAAAACTGAGATGGTTACAACTGTAATCCATTATCCATCGGTTTAATTCAAATGACATTTCTTTTACTTTTTGTGCTTAAGTTGAAGATCGCATTGTTCTAATGTAAAAAAAGGAATGTGTGATACTCAGAGTCAAAAATAAAACTGTCTAGAATTATTTGCAATGTACTCTGCGATCCTTTCATTTTTGGTTGTTTTTATTCAAATAATAAAGATACAAACTTATTTTAATAAATATTTAATCACTTACAAGAGGACTATAAAGTTAATGATTCCCCAGAACATTTCCGGAATGAAGCTTAGTCTCCATGGAGACTGGGACTCCAGCATCTGTCCTGCAATCAAAATGAAACCACATCACCATGACGTATTGTATATAAACTAAATGTACTTGAAACTACATGCTCTTGTACATTAAAACATGTATATCTGAACACCTCTCTAATCTGAACAACTCAACCATATTGAATATAAACAAAATGTACTTGTACATATACATGTTTATCCTATGCCAAGTAGAGTTTTAGGGAGATAAGTTGGTCAGATATATCCCGTATCCTGATTTTGAGGTTTCCATATCCAGAACCTCCATATCTCCCGCCATATCTCCCGCTTCGGTGCATATCTTCCCGCTTCCGGTGCATATCTTCCCGCTTCCGGTAATGCAATAAAATGACTTGATTTGTTTATTTTTACACCTTGTACTGTTGAAATGGCCATATGCCCCTGAAAAGTCTACTTGGTATAGGATAAAGCAGTTATGTACGGTCAGTTTGGATATTGGGTTCATCCCTCGTGAGGGATGAACCCTACGGTCCCTCAGGTAGATATGCATATCTCCCTCTGGATAAACCCCATATCCAAAACCTCCCAGTACATAACCCTTATATATCTGAACAACTCTAAATAAGAACACTTTGGTATTCTGCATAGAAAGGCTTTGATATATATGTTTTGGTATTATCATGAAGAAATCAATTTTGAATATGATTAAAGTACATGTATAAAACATTTTACTCATTTAAAAGTCAACAAAAAGACTAAGAAAAAGAGGTATCAAATTGTTCACTTGGAGTCAGGAGTGTTGCATTGTGAACAGTCATTCCAATAAAAACATAATTTGTGGGAAAATGTCCAGTTTCATTATTGCAATAATTATGATGAATTCCATTTTGTTTTAAACTATCAAAAAGTAGTAGTCTTTTGATGTCTTATATATCAATTGTTTTTTAGGTTTTACCCAATGAGGACTGGTTCCCAGAGTGCAACATCAATATTCTGTCCAATATGTGGGCACTATATATAAACATTGACAGGGACCCTCGCCGCATATGGGGTACCTTTTTTTCCATTTGGTATGGCAATAAACCTACATTTTAGGATCTGGTATGAGAATGCCTCTTCAAATTTATGACACGAGGTATGATGATGGTCAAGTTTTTCCTTTTCCTGGTATGAGAATGGTTGTGGAAAATAGGTTACCTCACAATTGCGGTATGGTATTGGTCTAATAGTTACATACAGTATCCTTGATTTGAGGTTGTTTTTGATCGTTTTCCTCATATATCTGCCTTCTTCCCAAGGCCTTCTTCAATTTGAATATTAGTTTTTTCTACTTTGGACATTTGGTATGGCATTGGTCCTATATAAAGACATTTGGTATGGCATCAGTCTTATTTCTGAACATTTGGTATGGTATTGGTCCTATATTTGGGCATTTGGTATGGCTTTTAGGCGTAATTTTTCTTGGAATGGGAACACATTTAAATTTGACAGTTTGGAACATATCGATATCTGAGGATTCAGCCTATGACCCCCTCCAAAATCTATAGACCCCTCGGGTGTGGGCATGTCGTGATACAAAATTTGAATTCAAACAGCTGCGGTTTTGTTCACTTCAACATTTGAATCGTGAACTTTGGTCTTATTTCTGAGCGAAAATTTCCAAAACTCACAAGAAATGATCGAGATATTGGTTGAAACAGGGGCTTTCAAATCTAATTTGTAAGCCCATGGTTGAAATGAAATCTATTGAACTGTTTATTTTGAATTTTTAGTTGGTTATGATTTCAGAAAATAATGAAAATTCAATGTTTTCATTGTTGGTAAAAATCGCGTTTCAATCCTGGGAGCCAATCCTTGGGTTTCCACTAGAGGCAATCTGCGCGAGATTCCATTTTTTGGTTCGGTTTTTAGGGCATGCGCAATAAATCCAGCAATTTAATTGGTTCAAATTATTATAACGCATGCGCAACTAATAACTTATAGGAACATTTAATTTGAGATAGATGTCACTTATGTTCATTTTTTCACAGCAGTCCCTAGCCATGATGCACCATATAGTGCGGGAATATTTTTGTTTATTGTCAAAACAAAAAGTATGCACCCAAAACTCAAATATCTGGCGATGAAGCAGTTTGTTTTCTTCTGGCTGTCAGTGCTTTGGATTATTAAATAATTAGATAAAACATAGTCAGAGCAGATTGTTATTATTACATGACTGGACTTTATTGAAAATATTACATATTATCGCCCAGTTGATTTTTTACAAACATTTCAACTGGATATTTTGAAATTATATGATTACACATTTCAACACAATACATCTCAAGTGAATCTATGTATATCCATAGACACGGTAATGCCAGTGCAAATATTTTATAATGTCCCTTTTGAGTAGAAAACAATGAAAACACTCACCTCCCGACACGTAAACCATCTTCAAAACAAAGATGACGTCAGTAAGTCTTAATTACACTAAACGAAACAATCGAAACAACCCCCGTATTCCCGGGAAATTCATTTTCGTTAGTGCTGGACTAATATTTAAGACATTTAATAATTTCATGGATGGGTGGCATTTCAAAAGATAAATAAAAAATGTATATCTATTTAAATAAATGATATAAAATGTTAGAAAGATGACCTAGTTTTACCGGAAATCAAAATTATTCTAACCAGATTCAGCCTTTGACCTTTTTGGCGCGAGTTGTAAAATCTTGTCCTGTAATATATTCTCCAATATAAGCATGGATATCAGCGGTTATAAGAAAAACAACTCTAAAAGTCACGTGGTAGCATCTGTTGTTCCAGAGATTACAAAAACTGAGCCATGTTGGCTTGGAATTGACGAGGCGGGAAGAGGACCAGTTTTAGGTTTTTGATTTTTCCTGTTTCTAGGCTAGACAATAGTCGAATTATAATCGCTAATCCATAGGCTAAGGGTTAAGTAATAGTAAGCTGTATAAAGAAGAGACAGGTTAACAACTAGGATTTAGGCCACTTGTTAACATGGCGATTTTAACATTATTTGTGTATAATTTTCAAAAAACAATGCAGAGTTGATCCAAAATTGATAGTTTGCAATTCTTACCTATGAATCAACCACATTCAAGTGATATAGAGTGAATAAAGCCGTCTTGAGGCGAGATATTCTGAAAACCTACAATTGCCTGGCAAGTTACCCGGATTTCCGTGTTGAATCATGAATGGAAGTTTGAAACAAGGAATTTGATTGGTTCCTGCTAACCGCCGCCAGTGACACCTATCTGGTTCTCTAAAATGTAATTCATTTTCTAGAAATAACAATCAATTAAAGTGTACAAAACTATAAAAGGTTTACTTAATAATTATTTATCAAAACATCTGATTCATATAATATATTTTTAAACCCATTTTTCTTGGAATTTTAAACTTCTAATTACAACCAATCAAATCAATCGTTACAAGATTCAATCTTTCCATGTGTCCGGAAGTTTCAACTTGCCGGGCAATTGCAGGTTCGTACAGTTGGTGTTTTTTTATGCTGTCTTATCGAAGAGTTAGGATATAGATTTGAAATATTCAACAATCTACGTTTCGAAAACACTTTGGAGAAGATTCTTGGGAGATTTGGTGGTACGACTCGATATCAGTAAGGAGAACTCGTACCAAGACGGCAAGTTTTTGAAAAAATTTTCAATCCTAATTGTTGACCTGTCTCTTCTATATACAGCTTACTATTACTTAACCCTTAGCCTATGCGCTAATCGGTAGAAGATAATATAATTTCTAACCTGGCCTAACCTCTTTCAAATGCTGACTTATCTGATAGTAGATGATGTTCTATTTGTTGTTGATGTCCGCCTTTGAAAGAGGAAGGTGTATTTCTTGGAAGTTTTGAGATAAATCTTTTCATCGCGATTCCAGGAAGACCACTTAAGGCATATTTGCTCTAAATTTTCACACATGTTACATGGTAAGAAGTTCTAGAGCTGATATTAACTCTTTGGCGACCATCTTGCATTCTGGTCGCCATCTTGGAAGTTTATAGATAAATCTTGTCATCGCAATTCCAGGAAAACCACTTAAATTTTCACACATGTTACATGGTACGAAGTTCTAGAGCTGATTAAATTTTCGTTGGCCATCTTGCATTCTGGAAGCCATCTTGAAAGTTTTTAGATAAATCTTGTCATTGTGATTCCAGGTAAACCATGTGACAGATTTACTTCGAATTTTCACACATGTTACATGGTAAAAAGTTCTAAAGCTGATTAACTTTTCGGTGGCCATCTTGCATTCTGGCGGCCATCTTGGAAGTTTTTAGATAAATCTTGTCATCGCAATTCCAGGAAATCCACTCGACGTGTTACCTAACAAGTTCTAGAGCTGATTTACTTTTCGGTGGCCATCTTGGATTCTGGCAGCCATCTTGGAAGTTTTTAGATAAATCTTGTCATCCCAATTCCACACTGCTATGTTTTAGGTACGATATTTCACCCTGTGCCTTGTTCTCATTTTATTTTAGGTCCAATGGTGTATGGTATTGCCTACTGCCCAATCTCAATGAAAGACAAATTGAAAGATATGGGACTTGCAGGTTTGGTTATTTCCATGATATATGTAGGGCCTCGTGAATATTTTTGAAATAAAACATATCAAGGGTGTTACTAGCTAGTTGATGAGGCATATTTAAAAGGGTGAGGGAAAAATTTAGGCAATTTATTCTGACTATCACAAGACTTCATTTTCACAGTTTGAATTGAAAAGAAATTTATGTATTTGCTTGATGAACTATTTCAGATTCAAAGACCTTATCTGAGGAAAAAAGAGAAAGTCTGATGAATAGCATAGATGAAGCCAAAGACTACATGGGCTGGATTGTCAATATCCTTGCCCCAAATGCCATTTCTAATGGCATGCTTAGAAGGTATGTTTATGTTATGTACATGACAAGTTCTAATTATCTACAATCAAAATTACAAGAAATCAGAAAATCATTGTATTTATTCGTTCTGCAGGTGTAAATACAACTTGAACGCGATATCACATGACACGGCTATAGGACTTGTACAGAAAGCTATTGAGAAGGGGGTAAATGTAAAAGAGGTAAGGGTTCATTTACTTTATGTTTCTTTGCTTATTTGTTTGTAGATACAGTAAAACTCATAGGTTTTGGGCCCAACTAAAGATGGCAGCAGAGGTAGAATCATAACAAACACAGATTGATTGGCATGCCATCTTTATTTGAAAACTATTTTTATCATTCTTTAGCCTATGGTAAAACCTGAAAATAGAACACCTTATAGTCCCATTACCAATTGACTTAATTTTAAATGAACCTCTGTAAGTGGAACACCTCTCGAGTCATTTTAGATGTACGAAAGTTTTTCACTTTGAGTTAAGGGGTCAACTGACTGTTCTACATCTATGACCTATCTACAGGTAGACTGGCTAAATTGTATACCTCAATTGTAAATTTGACTGGAATCCACATGTATTCTTTTCATGGACATACAACTATTAGATATTGTCTACCCATAGGCAAATTATGCGCCTCATACTGACCAATCAGATTGGAGCATTTTAAATGTATTATTTTGCCTTATAGGTTTATGTTGATACAGTGGGGCCACCAGAAAAATATCAAGCTAAGCTAGAAGGAATATTTCCAGATTTGAAAATAACAGTTGCCAAAAAGGCCGATGCCCTTTATTCCATAGTCAGTGGGGCCAGTATATGTGCAAAAGTAAGTCTACTTAATGAAATTTTATTGTACCTTAAGGTGGCCTATAACCATGTTTATTTTTTCGTGAAGCAACTCAGTAAAATTACGATTTCTTCGGACCCTAAATTCAATGTATCTATGCCCAAAAGTGTCAGGAACACATACTCGTTTGATCTTGATTGAACATCAGGGTGCAGAGAAATCTTAATTTTACTGAGTGGCTTAAGGTGGCTTAAAATGATGCTTATTTTTTCGTTCCCGAGACACAAATCCACAACTCATCCCCTGGACAACTCATATCCTGGACATCTCATCCCCTAGACAGCTCATCCTCTGGACAACTCATCCCCTGGATGACTCATCCCCTGAACAACTCATCCCCTGGATGACTCATCCCCTGGACAACTCATCCCCTAGACAACTCATCCTCTGGACAACTCATCCCCTAGATAACTCATCCTCTGGACAACTCATCCTCTAGACAACTCATCCCCTAGACGACTAATCCTCAGGACAACTCATCTCATGGACAACTCATTCCCTGGACAATTCATCTCCTGGACATCTCATCCCCTAGACAGCTCATCCTCTGGACACCTCATTCCCTGGATGATGAACAACTTATCCCCTGAACAACTTATCCCCTGGATGACTCATCCCCTGGACAACTCATCCCTAGACACCTCATCCCCTAGACAACTCATCCTCTTGACAGCTCATCCCCCTAGACAACTCATACCCAAGACAACTCATCCCCTAGACAACTCATCACCTAGCCAACTCATCCTCTGGACAACTCATCCCCCAGAGAACTCATCCCCTAGACAACTCATCCCCTGGACAACTCATCCTCTCGACAACTCATCTCCTGGACATCTCATCCCCTAGACAACTCATCCTCTAGACAATTCATCCCCTAGACAACTCATCCCCTGGACAACTCATCCTCTGGACAACTCATCTCCTAGACATCTCATCCCCTAGACACCTCATCCCCTAGACAACTCATCCTCTGGACAACTCATCCCCTGGACAACTCATCCAATGGACAACTCATCTTCTGGACATCTCATCCCCTAGACAACTCATCCTTTGGGTAACTCATCCTCTAGACAACTCATCCCTGAGACAACTCATCCTCTAGACAACTCATCCCTAGACAACTCATACCTAGACAACTCATCCCTGGACAACTCATCCCCTAGACAACTTATCCTCTGGACAACTCATCCCCTAGACAACTAATCACTTGGATGATTCATCCTCTAGACAACTCATCCCCTAGAGAACTCATCCCAGGACAACTCATCCTCTGGACAACTCATCCCTGGACAACTCATCCAATGGACAACTCATCCCTGGACAACTCATCCCCTAGACAACTTATCCTCTGGACAACTCATCCCCTAGACAACTAATCCCCTGGATGATTCTTCATTTGGCTTCATTTAATGTTATATTATCAATTCATATTATTGATATAATATATAGAGGTTATTTAATGGGAGATTTTTGATACAGGGTATATCTGAGGGAAATACAATATATCTATATTGTATTTACCGAGGGATATGCCCTGCATCAAAAATCGAGCATTTAATTACTGATTTATTCTATATAAAGTAGATTATGAGGAATAATAGGTAAGTCCCCTGACTCAGTATCTACTCCCTGAATTTGTGACGTCGTAGATATATATCTCCTGCTCAAGTCACATCAATTATATTTCCGCATGTTATTTACCTATAACACCACTAAGTATGGAATAAATTGAGATATTGTGGCCAATGTGAATAAATTTAGGATTTTGCACCATGTGGAGAAAAAACTAAGAAGTGATTTATATAGGTTTGGATACTGTGGCAATGATTCTTCTCTTCTGTAGGAGGCTATAGTCTACTTAAGTTACATTTCAATTTAGATAACTTTTAAATCAAGTTTTGATTATTGATAAAATTAAAATCTTGGTATTTTTGAAATTTAAAAGTTGCAGAGGTCAGCATAATATCTATGGCTGGTTTCAATTTTCAGGTATGCAGAGACCATTGTGTAAAAGAGTGGGAATTTAAAGAAGGCATTGAAGTAGACAACTTTGGCTCTGGATACCCTGGAGGTAATATACATAGATGTTATTGATCAACCCTCGTACATACTAGATGTTATTGAGTGGCAGGGGTGGAATAGGAATTTTATATTGACCAAGGAAAATATCATATTTATTATTCATTATTGCCTGAGTGCCGGCCTGAGTGTTCATATTCTATCACAACCTTCAATAACCTAGTTATTACAAATTATTTTTTCTGAAACTTTATTTTAAAACTGTATGTTATCACCCAATGAAAGTAACATGATACAATTTAATTTATCATAAACATTTATTAACTTTTACAAATTTTAAAAATGATGAAGATGTGGTTTCCCCATGGGTAGATTCATTTTTAACATATTTCCAGATCCAAACACCAAGAACTTTATGAAAGAACAATTAGATCCAGTGTTTGGTTTCCCTCAACTTGTACGTTTTGGATGGTCAACTGCGTACAATGTCATTGATGAGAAGTGTGTCTCTGTTTGCTGGTAAGTGAAATTTCCCAAAGTTTTCATCCTCATGATCCCCTTCCCCCTGACCGAAACCTCATTTCTATCATCTCAGACATGCTAGTGTGACTCAACAATACACGACTTGTCATAAACTGCACATCTTAGAACCTATAATTCTTTATTTAAAAGAAAAGTATGGTATATTGTCTTAATAATTAATTGTAAAAGTATCTGTAGCTTCATTGATCCTCAAGAGCCAAGTGTCTACCAGGTTAAATATTCAATGGGATTCGCTGTGCTATGTGTGGTGATCTAGTTTACCCTTTCACGTGTCATCTAAATACTATTAGGCAAACTTTTCTGACTTAGGTATTTCTCATAAGTTTTAAAAAAGCTGTGAATATGCAAAACAATATCTCTTTAATTACCAGGAGTATTTAGTTGGTATATTGTCTTAATACACCATTTCTTACATGTATTGTCCAAATTTTTCAGTTGCAATTTTCTTTAAGCTCTCACGATCGACCTTTCCATTATTGAGTGTTGGTATCTGATCTAGCATGAAGAAATATCTTGGTGCGTTGTTCATACCATCTGCTGTGAAATCTCCAAATACCCCCTTACACCATTCTTTGATTTCCACGTCAGTTAATGTCAGTCCGTCCTTGACCTTGATACATGCGCAGAGTTCCTCGTAAAGGCGAGGGTCTGGGACACCCACAACCTGAACTTGGTCGATGCTACAGTGTTCTAGCAGTATATTCTCTATTTTACCTGGGTGAACGATCACTGTGCCTCGTTTAATGAACTCTTTCAGGCGGCCCACGATTGTCACATAACCATAAGGTGTTAGGGTGCCAATATCTCCCGTATGCAACCATCCATATTCATCAATGATTTCGTTGGTTTTAGCTGGATCATTGAGGTACCCTTGAAACACATTCGGCCCCCTGGTGCATATTTCACCCTGAGTGTTAATAGGGAGGATCTTGTTATCTTTATCTCTAATGCTAATCTCTACATTTGGAGACCCATAGCCAACAGTGAGGTGTTGCTTTGTGAAGTCAGCTATTGGGAAGATGGAAGAGATGAAGCCACCCTCTGTTAGACCTATTAAGAGGACAGAAAATGATAGAAACATGAAATAATTGCATTTGTAGTCAGATAAATAAGAAGTTAAAAATAGTAGAAGTAAACCTATTATACCTCGTATACTAGAATTAAGATTCCACTTACCGTATCCAATCACTATTCCAACACCAAGCATCTTTTTGATATTCTCAATGAGATTAGGATCAATTCGTTGACCTCCCGTCATTACACTCTTCAACTTGGACATATTATAACTCGCTCTTTTTGCAGTCTCCATGTTCATGATGTCATACATCAAATACGGCATGAGAACGGTGTAGGTAACTTTCTCCTCTTGAATAATCTGAAGGAACGTCTCAGGGCCCGAATTCTGTACGGTTTGTTTTGCATCAATTGTGACTATTGTTGTTTCAGCAGCGAGGGCAATAGCAAATGATCCCACGCCTCCCATCCATGACATTGGACGATCGTTGAACATAATACTACCTTTTGGAAGGCCAATTCTCATTTGGGAAGCCTTTGCCATGTGTATAAAGCATCTATGGGACAAAGGGCAGTATTTTGGTTTCCCCGTACTACCTGATGTTAGATTAATCCAAACAGCATCATCCATAGAGACATTATCATTGCATGATAATATACCCAATTTTTCCTTATCAGATTTCTCTTTCAGCAAATTTGGGAAGTTGACTCCACCTTTGGGGACGTCATCCGCAATCAGAACTACATGCTTCAATGTGGGCATTGTGTCATCACATTCACTATTTAAAACTTTCCCAAATAGTTTCAGCACAATATCTCTTTGTTCTGCATCACCAATGTGTACTATTATCACACAGATCCCAGTCTCCTTGATTTTAACCTCTATGTCTTTTCCACTTTTAAGGTCATAGGTCAGAAACACAGGTAGCGCTGCACAATGTAGTAACGCTCCAACAGTGACTACAATCTCTTCACAGTTAGGCACGATTACTCCAACTTTATCCCGAGGCTTTACACCTAGATCAACCAATGAGACAGCCAGGTTCTCAGACTGGGCCACCCATCTTTTGAATGTGATGCTACTTTTCCGAGTTCCATTCGGATTCATGAAAACAAATGCTTCCTGTTCGCTATCCTTCAAATCCCGCAAATAGTCATAAAGAGTATCAGCGGTTAGTGCTTGTTTGGATGCTACATGGATATAACTCTTCTTTAATGGCTCCTTAATAGGTTCTACATCAGCTCCTGTCACATTGATGTACTCCATCCTTTTCTGGAATAAGAAAATATGGAGGCCTGGAGCTTTGCTGTTTTCAGAATGGTAATGTGCCAACCTTAGTGTTAACCATTTATGAAAAATTATTGGGAATGGCAGTCATTTGAAGGGATAGAAATGAGTTTGTCACAATTTGCTCATGTCATTCCATGGCATGCTTATTTCTAAAAAGTCCAACTGTGTTCTGATCCTTCAATTTTAGGGATCTTTTGGCAAAAAAGTGGAAATCCCCTTTTTCAACCCTATTGAATTGAACATTGCGTCAAATCTTCAATAACGTCTGTATTTCATCAGATATCTTCTTTTTTCAGAAAATAAAATTAGTAAATTGGCATGCTTTTTGAAAATATTGTGTCTAACATTTTAACATGCCTGTGATTTATGATTTAGAAAAAGTTAATCATTAATTTACATTTTTAATATACAACAGTAACCAATGTTTGTATGAAAAAGGTCTATGACATGGCATTTTTACTCATATGTAGGTCTTGCATCAAATCGAGAATGGTGCAGGAATGGCTATATCGTTGTATAGCGATATATATCGCTATACTGCCTCTCATTGACTTACATGTGATATATTCGATATATATCGTCGATATATAAGGCTATATAAAATCTGGCCAGATATACGTCTCCAGATTTTATCATGTTCCTGGCATTTACCCATGACGATATACACGCTATATTCGATATGTATCCTCTTGCCAAGATATAGAGCGATATACACACGATGTATACGCTATATTTGATATATATATATCCTGTCTTTAAGATATATATCCCCAATACAGGGGTTTGTTGAATCAGTTCTTACAATTAGCCATGATGATATACATGATATACACGATATATTCGATATATATCCTATTTTCAAGACATAGAACGATATACACATGATATATACGCTATATTCGATATATATCCTGTCTCCAAGATATATATCGGATATATATCCCCAATACAGGGTTTGTTTAATCAGTTCTTAAAATTATTCATGACGATATACACGATATATTCGATATATATCCTATTTTCAAGATATAGAACGATATACACAAGATATATACGCTATATTCGATATATATATCCTGTGTTTAAGATATATATCGGATATATATCCCCAATACAGAGATTGTTGAGTCGGTTCTTACAATTGTCCATGACGATATACACGATATATTCGATATATATCCTCTTTTCAAGATATAGAACGATATACACACGATATATACCCTATATTCGATATATATATCCTGTGTTTAAGATATATATCGGATATATCCCCAATACAGAGATTGTTGAGTCAGTTCTTACAATTAGCCATGATGATATACACGATATACACGATATATTCGATATTTATCCTATTTTCAAGATATAGAACGATATACACAAGATATATATGCTATATTTGATATATATCCTGTCTTAAAGATATATCGGATATATATCCCCAATACAGGGTTTGTTGAATCAGTTCTTAAAATTATACACGACGATATACACGATATACACGATATATTCGATATATATCCTATTTTCAAGATATAGAACGATATACACAAGATATATACGCTATATTCGATATATATATCCTGTGTATTAGATATATATCGGATATATATCCCCAATAAGGGTTTGTTGAATCAGTTCTTAAAATTATGCACGACGATATACACGATATACACGATATATTCGATATATATCCTCTTTTCAAGATATAGAGCGATATACACACGATATATACGCTATATTCGATATATATCTTCTTTTCAAGATATAGAGTGATAAACTAATGATATACACGATATATTTGATACATATCCTCTTTTCAAGATATTGACCGATATACACATGATATATACGATTTATTCCATAGTTAGCATGATATTCATAGGATAACATGTGAAAATAAAAACGGTATTTTTGTAATCAGTGGTAAAATATGATATTTTTGACAAATTTTCACTTAACCCATGGGCTTTCAACTAGAAGGGTATGCAACTCTATGTAATAACATGAGACCTTCAAAATGAGCAATGACATGCTTCCCTTTTATGGCAATATTTGAAAAAGTATTAGATAAATGTATATGTTTTAGTATTATTTTGAATAAAAATCAATTTTTTAATATGATTTAAGCATAAAATATATTCAATATCATATAAAAGTAAACAAAAGAGACCCAATAAGAATAAGAGTTATCAAGATGTTCTCTTGAGTATTGCATTGTGGGTACTTATTCAAGAACACATTCCAATAAAAACATAATTTGTGGGAGAATGTTCACTTTCTGTATTGTCATAATTATGATGAATTCCAATTTTTATTAAATTATCAAGATGTATGTAGAAGATCACGTTTTTATTTTTGAGTTATTTCATTTAATCATCATAAAAAGTACAAAATAAGATTTTCTTGGAATGTGTACATTCTCCAATTTTGAAAACCCATGGCAATGTTTATGTATGAAATATGGGAAGTTGCCTACCCTTCTAGTTGAAAGCCCATGCTTAACCATAGCATACAGTTTTTTAGCCATGACATACGGCGTCGTATGCGATGGTTTATGGATTTTTGCTACTTCAGACTCTAAACGACGCTAAGTGTCAACATCGCTGGATCGTTTGGAAAATTCGAATTAAATAACTGAATTTCCGACGATTCTGATGATGACTTTAACTATGGAATAAAAAGAACATCCTCTATATATTCGATATATATCCTATAGAGCGATATACTAACGATACATACGCTATAGTGACCGAGGGAAATATCGATATCATCCGAGGGAAATATCGATATCATCCGAGGGATATTACCCATATCATCCCGACAGGTGAATAACGACCTTATACCATGGTCAAGAGCAACATCTACCCAAAATCTTCTGTTGAATGAGAGAAAAAAGGATTGAATCTTAGAAATATTTACGTTACATACACGCCCCTCCGTAAGTTTGGCAATCTTAGCTCCCTCATTGAACTACGTGTTAAAGCCTCTTTATGTTTGAATTTCTATTTCCATTACCTGCAAGGAAAATACTTATAATATTGATGGGAATGTAACTTAATTAATTTCCAATGCCTCCAAATGTTCCCAATTCTTTCCTCAATTGCAATAGGTTGAAAATTGATGATAAATCTGATGAATTTTGGAAAATCGACATTCCCATGTAAACCAATGGGAAATGGTAGGTTTGCCGCAAGTCATATGACAGAATATTTATCCATCTGAGATCTTGCAAAAAATACAAGTTAGGTGGCCAAAATTGTATTTGCTTACTTTGTTTAATAAAAATTTAATATGTTTCCTCAGTTTTAAAAAGTTATAGGTCTTCAAAGTCAAATTTATTTTTCTGTTACATAAGTATTCATAAAGTAAACTGAACACTTAGAGTACAAAAAGTAGACAATTCAATTTTCTATAATTATAAAAATATTTTAGGTGAGTCTTTTACTGGTTAGATACCCTGAAATCAGATTTGCCCCGAACCCATCATTTTCCATTGGCTTACATAGGAATGACGATTTTCACAAATTCATAAAGTTTATCATCAATTTTCGACCTATTGTGATTGAGGAAAAAATTGGGAAACCTTGGGGGCATTGGAAATGAAGTCACGTTACATTTCCATCAATACAATAAGTATTTTTTCAAAAGGTTATGTTAATAAAAATTCAAACAAAAAGAGCCTTTAATATGTAGTTCAATGAGGGGGTTAGAGTTCCAAAACTTATGGAGGGTATAACCTACTCCCAAGTACATTGAGAAATTAAGTATAAGGGCAAGAAGAACAAAATACTTAAAGAAATTAAAATGTGAAGATAATTTTAATCAAAAAACAAAAAATATAAAAAAACTCATTTTTGGAAAAAAATAAATTTTTGGAAATAAATTTAATTTGTGAAAAAAAGATACCTAGGCTACTTGATATTTGTCTTGATATCAAAATATACACGATTTTTTGGAAAAAATGAAAAATTTGGAAAAAATGAAAATTTTGAAAATATGAAAATTTGTGAAAAACTGAAAAAAATTTAAACATGTAAAAAATTTTAATATACCCTGATATCATCCCTCTAATCCTGAATATCTTGAAAAGAGGATATTTATCGAATGTATCGTATATATGGTGTGTATATCGCTCTATATCTTGGAAAGAGAATATATCGAATATATCATGTATATCATGTTTGAAAAATATAAGAACTGATTTAACAAAATTGTAAACTGGAAATATATATCCGATATATATCTTGAAGACAGGATATTATGAGGTTATATAATGGTTCTTTCTGTATATCGTGTTTATACTCGAGTGAGTATATAATATATTCAAAAGTGAGCGTAGCGAACGAGTGAATATATTATATTCTCACGATAAGCACGATATACACGATATATTCGAAATATATCCTCTTTCCTAGATATAGAGCGATACACACGCGATATATACGCT